GCAGGTTTTATTTTACCTTGACCTCATTTTCACGGTTCATTGCTCAATGTTAAATTTTTTTTTCACTTTTATTAATACTGTGTGCAAGAGGTCAACTATATTTGATGTATGGAATTATTTTTCGATGTACATGATAGTCTTGCAGGTTTTATTTGACCTTGACCTCATTTTCATGGTTCATTGCTCAATGTTAAGTTTTTGTGTTTTGGTCTGTTTTTCTTAAACTTTAAGCAATATATCAACTATATTTGGTGTATGGAATGATTGTAAGTTGTATATGTCTGTCTGGCAGGTATCATCTGATCTTCACCTCATTTTCATGTTTCATTGGTCAATGTTCAGTTTTCCTGGTTAACTTTGTTTCTTAGATACTATAAGCAATAGGTCAACTATCTTTGATGCATGGCATGATTTTAAGGTGTACATGTCTGTTTGGCAGGGTTCATCTGACCTTGACCTCATTTTCATGGTTCACTGGTCAATATAAAATGTCCATGGTTTGGTCTGTTTCTTTTATACTATAAGCAATACATCATCTATATTTTGTGTATGGAATGGTTGTATTAAAGGTGAACATGTATTTCTGGCTTGGTTTATCTGACCTTGACCTCATTTTCTTGGATCATAAATGCTAATGTGATACTTGCAGTAAAACTTTATATCTAGGACTATCAACATAAAATCAATGGTCGGTAAAGTAGGCGAGACATTTCAGCATGTGCGCTCTTGTATTGTTATTTAAAGTGATGAGCATACATAATTGTTTTTAGAAGCAGGATGTTAAGAAACAAATGGGAAAACAAATGTTAATGAAATCAGGGTCAAAACTGTTTTTGGTATATAATTTAAATAGTTCACATCACAATTAAAATCAATGTGCAGTAAGTTTCAAGTTGAAGTAACCACAACTTCATGGTAAACTACTTTACACCAAAAGCTATAACCCGAGAATGTACTGGTATCAAACTATCACATTCTCTGATCAGAAATCGGGGTCAAGCCTTAATTTTGGAAATAATTTTAAAGGTACCCGGTACATATCAGAAAGTACATGCATACTAAGTTTGAAGTTGATATGTTCATACTGTATGTGCCTGTCCAAGTCAGGAGCCTGTAATTCAGTGCTTGTCGTTTGTTTCTGTGTATCATATTTGTTTTTCATTCATTATTTTGTACATAAATTAGGCCGTTAGTTTTCTCGTTTGAATTGTTTTACATTTGTAATTTAGGGGCATTTTATAGCTGACTATGCAGTATGGGTTTTGCTCATTGTTGAAGACCGTACAGTGACCCATAGTTGTTAATATCTGTGTCATTTGGTCTCTTGTGGAGAGTTGTCTTGTTGGCAATTATACCACATCTTCTTATTTTCAGATGACAAACTTCTGAGTCAAATAACTTTACTAAAAATGTTGTCCGATACCGGAGGGAAGAACGGTCTAACGGACAGACAAGACAACATGATGTGCCCTACTATAGTGGGCAGCCCATAGGTCCCATGTTTTGCTTTATTTGATGATGCCAGTATTTTACCTTCTCTACTGTGACCTTTCCTTTCCTTGATGGTGGAGTTTCATTGGCTCATTCGTGTTGAGTTTATTTCTCAGATGGATCATCATGTTCAACAGCTTCTTCTCAGAGTTCATTGAATATAAAATGTTTTCATAACTATTTTTTATAGTTATCATTATCCAGGTCTTCTACCTTCTAAAATATGGAGCTTGATACAAATACTGAATAATACAGATATGAACACATAAACTTAGTCTTGTTCAAGGATTAATGAAATGAGATAGGATCCAACTTACCAAATATAATCATTCTATTACTCATAATGAGTGAAAATTCCCATGACAAAAAAACTCTTAGTTTTTTAAAACAGTCGCTGAACCATGAAAATGAGGTCAGGGACAATGGACATCTGACAGACAGAAACTTTGTAACATTTCACATCTTCATACAAGGTTTGAAGCCTTTAGATTTTCCAACCACTGATGTATGAAGACTTATACAATTAGGTTATATTGCTGCCACTAGATTGTAACCCATATATCTCACATATGAGACAATAAATGGAGAATGTGTCCCCATGGACACAGATGATGCCCCCGCTTGCATACATCATTATAAAGGGACATAACTCAAGAACAATAAAAGTGACGCTACCCAAATTTGTACTTGATCTTAGTTTTGTGGTAATAAATATTGTGTATAGGTTTCATGTTTAGTTGGGGCAAACTTAAGTTACAGAACGGAAACTAAAAATTTTGCAATTTTTCGTTTTATAAAGGGGCATAATTCAATAATGGTTAAAGTGACACTACCCAAATTCAACTTGATCTGTGTTTTATCAGTGGAACGCAAAATTAAACATTGCATTGTATAAAGCATTGATTGTAGTTGATTCAACTATAATCATGGAAAAAGGAAGATAACTCCAATTTTAATAATTTGCTTCGCCAAGCGCAGCTGGATACGACCGCAGAGGTCCAACCCTGAAGATTTGGGACAAAAATGGACACAATATTCACGCTTGATACAGGTCTGAATTTGGATTGTAATTAAATATTTGACACATAATAGGTTTCTGACACAGAATAACTGTTGTCAAAGAAAGTAGAATTGGTTATGATTTGAATTAAAATTCAATTTTTTGCTTTTGTGCAATACACTATGCTGTTGCAAATTGACCCCCCCCCCCAAAAAAAAAAAAAATCCCCCCCCCCCCCCCCCTTTTTTTTGCAAAAAAAAAAATATTTGAAATTTTTTTTTTAATTTCTGAAATCTGAATTGAGAAAAAAATGATCCCCCCCCCTTTTCCCCCAAAAAAATTCTTTCCCTCAAGATACGGTCATAATCTCAATTCAAATTTCCAATGGAGTTTGCAACCATAATTACCCATTTAAATACATCATAAAAGTCTTAAAATAGAAAATGACATACATAATCATGGCTAAAATCAATATTCCTTAATCAGCATTTTTAAATAGTAATTTCTAAAAATAAATTGACAGCTAATCACCTCAAGACAATACAACATCTTCATACATAATTTAAAAGCAGTGTAAGGGAGGTAATCCAAACATAACATTGTACTTTTTTTTAATTGTCCATTAACCAGGAATTCCTTGTTTTTCCCGTAATTCCTAAACAGTTTGAGTCATAACCACCTAAAGCCAATCCTAACCATCCCTTTGTGGTATAATTTCAGAGAGATCCATACACAGTTCCACAAGTTATTGTCTGGAAACTAGAAAAATGCCTATTTGGGCCCCTTTTTGGACCCTAATTCCTAAACTGTTAGGACTATAACCACCAAAATCAATCCCAACTTTCTTTTGTGGTTATAAACCTTGTGTTAAAGTTTCATAGATTTCTATTTACATTTACTAAAGTTATTGTCTGGAGACCAAATGTCTTCAGACAATGCTGACGACGACATGATACCAATAGAGGACCGCAAAATTTTTTGCGTTGTATAAAAATTACTTGAACAATGACATCATTGATATTTTTAGAAAAACAAATTTGAACTTGATCTGAGTTTTGTGGTAAAAAGCATTGTGTGCAAGTCTCATAAAATTTGGTTGAGGCTAACTTTAGAGAACAGAAACTAAAAAATTCAGCAATTTTTCTATTTGTAAACACACATAACTCTAGAACAGTTGTGTATAAATTTTATAACATTTGATTGAGACAAACTAAAGTTAGAGAACGGAAATGAAAAATTCAGCAATTTTTATGTTTATAAAGGGACATAACTCAAGAATGGTTAAAGTGACACTACCCAAATTCAACTTGATCTGTGTTTTATCAGTTAAAGTCAAAATTAAACATTGCATTGTATAAAGCATTGATTGTAGTTGATTCAACTATAATCATGGACAAAGGAAGATAACTCCAATTTTAAAAATTACTTGATATTTAGAAGAAAATAAAAAATTTTCAATTTTTCCACTTATAAAGGGGCATAACTCTAGAACGGCTAAAGTGACGCCACCAAAATTCAATCTTGATCTGTGTTTTGTGGTACTAATCATTGTGTATAAGTTTCATAACATTTGGTTAAGGCATCTAAAGTTAGAGAACGGAAATGAAAAATTTTGCAATTTTTCCATTTATAAAGGAGCACAACTCTAGAACTGTTAAAGTGATGCCGCCAAAATTCAATCTTGATCTGTGTTTTATGGTAATAAGCATTGTGTACAAGTTTGATAACATTCAGTTGAGGCAAACTTAAGTTAGAGAATGGAAACCAATTTTGGGACGTACGTACAGACAGACGGACAAGGGTAAAACTTAATGCCCCCTTCGCTTTGGAGGGGGCATAACAATGACAAAGATATGGTTGGAATCAAAACACAAATAAATTATTATTTGATTTCCAGTGTTTAAATTCTGTATGTATTTACTCTTGGCATAGTTGTAGATGGGTGTTTTCTTCATAGTGATGCAGTGGTGTATGAAATTCAGTTGGTGGTGTAGTGATTGCAAATTGAGTAAATTATGTACTTTCTGATTAGCAACTTTGAAGAAAATGTAAATATATTTTCATATGGTATTATTCAGTGATGTTTTAATAATAACTACGGCTGCAATTTTATTGTCTGTATTGCAACATTATTGAGTGTTTTATTCTGAGTTTTTTTTCATTTCACTGATGAAGGTAAAATAGGGAGATACTCAAAAGATTAATTTAACCCTGCCACATATCACTGCAATTTTTTCTCGAAGTTAGGAACCTTGTCACCTATAATTTAATAGTTCTTTTGTGTGTCAATTATGGAATATGGTGTTGATGGTAGATTGATGGCAGTTTCTATCAAATTCTTTAACAACTCTGTGGAATTCAAAGCTGGGCATATATCAGATGTGAATTGCATATTTTGAGTAATACCTTTGAAACTCTCAGGAATTAGTGTTGTGTATGGTGAAGTTTTGAATGTGTTTGATTAATGGCAAAATGGAGTGGCTATAAAGTGATAAAAGATCTGACAATCTGAGCTTTTCATCTTTTATTGAGTCTGAAGACATATTGTGGACAAGCAAACAAACGGAACTGCCCACCAGACAGAAACATACAGAAAACTGTATTGTCTTTAGTATTCCTTGTACATACACAGATATAAATAGCGTACAAAATCAGTATAAAACATGTAAATGAAATATGAATGAATATTGGTTAGATTTTATATACCATTAAACAGGTTAAGTTGAGTATATCATATTTGAATTAAATCTTCCTGTTGACACTTAAACTGTAGAATACAATGTAAGTGAAAAAAAGAAAAGTAACACAACAAAACTTAGACTAACACTAAAGAAATTTTAGATTTTTTTTAAATATGATAAAAGTTGAAGTTGTTAAGCACCTTTGGTGAGCTTGTCCACTATTTATGCCATTTTTAAGTGGCAAAGTTAGAAACTAACTTATTCATAATGCAATCTTCTTCTTAATGCATTATGCAATACTTTCATAATTTTGCATTTATAACTGATTTATTTTTTTTAATGTTTCATTTGCTTTTTATATTGATTACTTTTTTCATAAGTTTTTAATTCTTTGAAATTTTTATCATTTATTAAATTTTTTATATTTTTTTAATGATTTTTCATATTCTTTTTTCTCTTAAAGCTTTTTACTTTAAATAAAGAATACGCAAACACAATAATTAATGTTTTCTTTCTTAATGGACATTCTCATTACTGCTAAATGTCATATTATTCACAGTGAATGTATGCACAAAAGTTGATTTATACTAGCCTCAGTCAGTGATTTTACAATGCACAACCAAATAGCACAATTCAGTTAAAATTTCATGCATAAATGCCAAAATTGCTTCTACTAAGAGGCTTAAAAATGGCACTTAATACATATGTAAAACAAACATGTAAATTAACATGAACAAATGATGGGACACACACATTTGCATAAACATTTACATATGTATCACACAAATACAGATATACCGGTAACAAAGTATTTGAGCACATGAGAAAACAAAATATCACCCCTAACTTTTGTAGAATATAACTCAACCATGTTCTTGAAAAATGTGAATGCTTTCTGAAATCATGACATCTTATAAAACAAGACTTCAGGAACTACAAAATTTTATAAAAAAAAATTTTGATTTCATTTTAGAATTTCAACTTGTATAAATACTGTAAATCTTTGTACCACTGCTTCTTTAAATGGTTATATACTCTGTGTGCTTATTTTCTCATTTTTCTACCACTATTGATCAAGTACAAATAATGGATTCTCAAAAAATTAGACATATGGAAGTATGTATTGTGGGAATTTCCTACATAGAAACCACACACATTTTGTAAAACTGTATGGTCAAAATGATGGATTTGCATTACTGAACATTTTGAAGGACACCAATAATTGTCAGTCTTTGTAATTTTTGTTATTGAATTCACTTGTACATTCATAAAATTATTTTCATATCAGCAAAATTTATTATTTAAAGTAGTGCCAGTACAAAGTTTTACAGTATAGACACACATTTCTGTTTTCAATTGAAAAATCAGTTAAAAATCTACATGCTTTACTGTGATTATCATTCAAGTCAATATTATCTGAATTTCCTCAGTTGTATTGAAACAAATACCATTTTGACCTTTTCTATGAACTCTTTTCAATATTCCTGAGAAGTAAGGGACTAGAATACATGTGTCCATTTAAGAAAGAATACTGCAGAACTTAAACAGGGATACAAAAAGCTATGGAAAAAACGGTACAAATTAAAATAATACCTAACTATATATATACATTATAAGCACTCATCAACTCTTTTATCATAAATACAATCACATTGCTTTGTTTGTAAAAAATGTAATAATGTAATAATGGCAAACTGTCATAATTTCATAAAAATACAATATTCGTATAATACGTGGCAGCAAAATTATATCACATAATCTCGAGGTTCGCAATAACAAACCATTTATGTTTTCAAACAAAAAAGTTGATAACCATTATAATCAATCAGTCTTTCTATTTATCAAGCACTTCTTTCATTAAACTAACAAAACACACATGTAGATACAGCATATAAATAACCTATCAACACTTATCAAATTCTGGAAATTGTGAGGACATGTAGTTCAAATTAAACTGGAATCTTAATAGTACTCCTTCTGTTTCACAACTGAATATTATTTATTATTTTACTATAATTTAAAACCTTTTTAAATGAAATTTCTATCTCATTTATAATACCATAAAAAAATTCCTTAGTTCCCTTTTTTTAAAATAGATGTATAGGCATCCAGTAGAAAATGTATACATTTGTAATAGGTTATTATTTCCAGAACAGAATCTAAGTGCTGATCGGTGTGACTTTGGTTAACAAGGGACATAATTCATTTAGCTGTTAAGGGAGATAATTATACCTTTTTTTGAAAGAAGAATATTACACTTTAAATTTCAAGTTTGCACTTTTTGTGAATTACTTATTTTTATGAATTTGCTTAGAATATCAAAACACAAACAAAGTTCTTTGTTAAGCTTATAAATCATATAGATAATATCTATTCTTGTTTCAATGTTAGAAAAAAAGTCATTATCTAAATATACTAATTTCTAGCTGCAAAGTCAACTGAATTTTGATGTAAGTTAAAAGTAGAATATTTTCTTTGGAAAAAGTTCTTTTTAGATTTCACTGGTGATATTGCACATGGAACTGTGGAATGTAAGCTTGGAAATTTTCGCATGGGGTTAATTTTTCGCTTTTGTAGCATACAACTATAATAGAGAAGTATAAAATACTTCCTCCACGCATTTTCTTTAATCAAGAAAGGAAAAGAAAAATAAACTGCGTGAAATTAACCCCCATGCGAAATGTCGAAAATTACAAAACGAAAATCAACCTCTCGAAAATTTCCAAATTTACAGGCATAGATAAAAAGAGTCAGTGATTAAATACTTTAAACAATATACCGAGAATTGTTGTTTTTATCTAAGTACAAGTTAACAATGTAAATATGCTTTTATTGAGCTAGGGTTATCTCAAATTATCTATCTGACTTTATTCCATGTGTTAATTAATAGAGCTTATTTTTCATATAACTATATTTCATTTTTTTTAGTAAAGTTCATAATAAGTTGAACAGAATAACTATTTTCCTACAAATTACATAAAACCTACATGACTATACAAGTTTTTTCTCATGTAAGTTCAAGCATATAAGGGGAATCTCCCTGAACCATTCTCCATATCTGCCCCTCCTCTGATTCACTGTCTTCATCCCCATCTCCCACCCCATATTCCACTAATTTCTCCCGTATTTCATCATGGCTTTGAATCATAGCTCCCTCTAACTGCTGCCACATATTATCTAGTTCCACCTGCTTAGGGTCTTTCTCATAATGGTCAACATTATGAGATGCAGGATCCGTCTCAAAGTTTTCACTGTAGACATTTTCGGTGAATGACTCATTAGATGTGTCAGTAGATGATGAACTATGGTCTTTAACTTCAGAAGCAGACATGTCCTCACTAAATGAATTGTCTGAGTGAATACCGTTAGTCACTAAACTATTAGCACTTTCATAAGAAATCTGAAACGAAATGACACAATATTAATATGATTAGGTACATGAAAGTCAATTGAAATACACAGAATAATATATATTTATGATTTAAATGCTCCGCTGGGGCGCAGCTTGATACGACCGCAGAGGTCAAACCCTGAACAGTTGGGGCAAGTATGGACACAACATTCAAGCTTGATACAGCACTGAATTTGGATTGTAATTAAATTTTTGACACAGCATAGGTTTCTGACACAGAATGAAAGTGGTCTAACAACTTAAAAAATTTTAATTTACCTGATCAGAAATAACCAATTTAAAATGGAAAATTTTAAAGAAAAAAAAGGAAAAAGAAATCCCCCCCCCCAAATTTTTTGAACCCCCTTATGATTCATCACCCCCAAACTCAATCCCAGCCTTCCCTTTGTGGTATGGTACCTTGCAGTACAATTTCAGAGAGATCCATACACTTGAACACAAGTTATTGTCTGGAAACTAGAAAAATGCTTATTTTTGGCCCCTTGTTGGCCCCTTATTCCTAAACTTTTTGGGCAATTACCCCAAAACTCAATTCCAGCTTTCCCTTTGTGATATGGAACCTTGTAGTACAATTTCATAAAGATCCATACACTTACACACAAGTTATTGTCATGAAACTAGAAAAATGCTTGTTTTTTGCCCCTTTTTGGCCCCTAATTCCTAAAATTTGGAGGCAATTACCCCCAAAATCAATCCCAGCATTCCCTTTGTGATATGGAACCTTGTGATACAATGTCAGAGAGATCCATAGACTTACACACAAGTTATTGTCATGAAATTAGAAAAATGCTTGTTTTTTGCCCCCTTTTGGCCCCTAATTCCTAAAATTTGGAGGCAATTACCCCCAAAATCAATCCCAGCATTCCCTTTGTGATATGGAACCTTGTGGTACAATGTCAGAGAGATCCAATCACTTACACACAAGTTATGTCTGGAAGTTACAAAAATGCTTATTTTGGGCCCCTTTTTGGCCCCTTATTCCTTAAGTGTTGGTACCATAACCCCCAAAATCAATCCCCACCTTCCTTTTGTGGTATTGAACCTTATGGTAAAATTTCATTGAGATCCATTCACTTAAACTAAAGTTAGAGTGCGAAAACTAATGTGTCTTCGGACAACGACATCGACGACGACACCAACGTCATACCAATATACCACCACAAAATTTTTTTTGCGGTCGTATAAAAAAAAAAACAGTATATAGATGGAGTTTTATAATTCTAGCCCTACAAGCATAGAACTCCTGAAATAGATTAAAATAAAATTGTTTTTAAGTATCAATAAGAAGTCAATACTGAAATATTCACAATTCAACAATTTACACAAAAAAAAAATAATATGTGTGTTTACAGCAACCCAACCGACCCTCGTTCCATTGCTGCGACCCTTACTTTTTTTTTTAATGGCGGCCTCCAGTGCCAGCACTGTACAGTGTCTTCTGTTTCACTATATGTAGCTAATTGTGTCAAGAACCTACAATTGAACTCCCCCCCCCCCCCCATTGTACGGCTTCAAAAATGAGCAAAACCCATACTGAATAGTAAGCTATTGATATGAAAATATGTGAATAATTCAATGTGTTCTTCTACAAGTAATTTCTGAATTCAGAAACTGTGATTGATTTGATATAACCATACCTGCGACTTCTTGTCTTCTGGTTGCATTGTCCTCAAAGGCAATAATAGGCTTTGGTAGAGTTTCTTCCTCTTGATTATTGTCAAAAGAGATATTAGTATTACAGTTCAACAAATCGTCACTTGTATTATATTTAGCATTTGTGACTGCAAGATCTATAATTTGTTCAAATTTATGATCAGCTGTTGTCGCTGAATCTGTTAGACTTCCATATAAAGAGCTATCTGTTACTGAAGTTCCCAATGAGTCAACTGTTCTCATACTAATACTGAAATATAAAAGAAAATGTAATAAATAAAAAAACAGCTGTAAACTTCAGTTTATTTATAACTTAACTTTCAAAAAACATAAAATTCTGTACAACCACCATGACCACCAAGGAACTTTAAGTGTGTAACTGTACAACATAGATAAATATAGCTGATTCTTTATTTCAAGTATTTGATATTAAAATATCATTTGGTAAGAGGTTATGAGCATTTATCATGAGTGTTAATGAATGGTTTTCCCCTCGTGAATGAAAATATCAATGAACTTCAACAAAATTTCCTTATTATTTCAAGCAGGAGTGTAACTGTATAAAACGTCAATTTCCTAAAGTTGGAAGATGAAGTTTACTTCAGCTTGTTTTACAATGACTATATGACTTATAAACTGGTACATATTTTTAGTTACAAGTACAAGTAAATGATTTATCTTATGGTATACATATTAAGGTCAAAAGTAAAAAAACATGACAACCCATAGATCATTCATTTTATTAAAAGCAATTAGCGAAAACATTTTTAAGAAAATGCATGAACTTTTTACCTTAAAAAGTTTTACATTTCACAGAAACAAAAAACAAGAACACTTTCAATTAAAATTTTAACAAAACTAGGAGTAACTGTGTCACAGCTTAAAAACAGAGTAAGAAATAGCATTTTAATACAGTTGTCAGAACCATATACGCATTTTACTGATTACAATAGAAATAAGAAGATGTGGTATGAGTACCAATGAAACAACTCTCCATCCAAGTCACAATGTGTAAAAAGTAAACAATTATAGGTCAAAGTATGGCCTTAAACACGGAGCCTTGGTTCACACCGAACAGCAAGCTATAAAGGGCCCCATAATGACTAGTGTAAAACAATTCAAACAGGAAAACCAACGGTCTAATCTATATAAAAAACGAGAAACACTTATGAACCACATTAAAAAAAAACAACCACTGAACAAACATGTATAAGTGATCCAGATTCCTTTCTCTTTCATCAGATAATGTGGTGTGTTGACTTTTCCAACAATACAACCAAAACATCTGGTTCACTTAAACATGTCAAAACTCACATAAATCTTGGTTTAAACATTATAAATTTATCAATGGAATTAATCTTTGCTCAAAATTAATTACCCAGCGCAGAATGTTTGCACTTTTTTAATGGACATTTGCTCTTTATCAACATAACATTTAAGTAACCAAGTTATAAAAAAAAAATCAATATCAAAAACTCAATATATTCAAATAATTATATACATGTATAGCTAAAAGACTTAATTTTTCACTTAGATGAACCATGATGGTACAGTTCCTCAGACTATCCATGCAATAGGACACAAGAGGAATAGAGTTTTGAATTTAAATCCACAAATTGTATTAAGCTGCTTAAAAAAATAAGGGCAAAATTTAAATATTCCTTCCATCATGTCCATAACATAAAAATTTAGTTTTCTCTATCGTTTTCCTGATTCTTTTTATTTCTGATCTTGTTGTTTATTCAGAGGAACTTTCAAAGAATATATGAACCATCTTTCCATGACTTTGGAAAATTTGGTTAAGATTACAGGTAAACTATCACAGGTAAAAAGCACAAATGTCCAGTCAATTTAGTTCAGGTGTAACAAAGTTTATTGTGCAAATGTCCTTTCGTGTTACTGGTAAATAAATGGGGAATGTGTCCATGGGACAAAGATGATGCCCCCCCTTTGCATTTAACATTATAAAGGGACATAACTCAAGAACGATAAAAGTGACGCTACCCAAATTCATACTTGATCTGAGTTTTGTGGTAATAAGCATTGTGTACAATATATAAGTTTCATAACATTTGGTTGAAGCAAACTTAAGTTAGAGAATGGAAAAGAAAAATTGAGCAATTTTTCTTTGTAAAAGGGCATAACTCACGCTACGGCAGGGGCATAAAAAGCAGAAACGTCCTGTGCCCTTATTATCAGAGGTCAAAGTAAGCACTCCCCCGACAGCCTATGGCAGGTAGATTTTAACAAGGGCAAGATAACGAATAGAAACTTGCCCCTAGGAACAATTAGTTTTATTACTTGTAAGATTATTTTGGATAGTAAATTTCATAGATTTAAAGAGAGATTTCTCTGATTTGGTTGACTAGACACAGCACTTAATGCCCATGTATGGTATATTTGAGACAATCTTTCAAGCAAACAGCAGTTTCTTATATATTATTTAATCCATGAGAAACTATCAAATTTATAATTTGATATTATTGGAGTAACTGTTCATGGTCACAAATGTCATCATTCAAACAAACTCATACAACAATACTTTTAAATTTTATTTATTTATCTAAACTAATTTTTTTTATATAGTTCACATTACAAAAGATATTCATCAGAAATGATCTATGTTGCCCTGATAGTTTGAACTGAGAGCTGAATATTGTCATGATTGTGAATAGTAACTATATTAACCAGTGGATAACATTATCAACTGGTTAAATATATTAATCTTTTAGGAGATTCTAGTAAAATTTTCATTTTTGGGTTGTTTTTGCTGTTGTTTTGAAGGAGGGGGTTTGGGATGCAATCCTTTGATTTAAAGTTCAGTTGGTTTTTTTTTTTGTGGCAGTTAATGCTTGAATTAATGCGTTCTAAGCTGTGAAAGTTGTCCTATTTACAGACTTTGAATATTCCTTTAAATTGATGTGACTTAATTACAATGGTGAAATTGTGTTTTCTCCAAATGCATAGATCTGTTATTTATAAATTACTGTAAACTTTATTTAAACAGATTTCCCCTACACAATGGGGTTTCTAAATCCTCAAAATATGCACTACCATTGCACTGACCACATTTACATTCAACTGTTTAATAATAAAATACATATCTCAGATTTTAAGTACATTTAATGCATTCTTTGCACAATTACAGTGTACATCAGTTGTTTCAATAAGCTTGTTATCTTAAAACTTAAAAGCTTAAGTAAGTTTAAAATTCATATGTCATTGAATTAAAAAACCTTTTAAAATGCAAATTTCAATTTACTTAGCTGAATGTAAAGAACATTGTTTTCATTTAAATTAATTTTAAATATCTGTCTGTATCTTAGTCATATGATTATTTGATAGCTGAAATTGACAAAATATGTTCCCTCCAGCTTTTACCAGTCATGAATTAATATGCAAAACTTACATACGGAAGCTGCATACAAAGTATGTCCCTTCATCAGTGACTACTGGTCTTACACAATACACACCTATGTAAACACCCTACCTGGAATGTTTTACCTGTACAATACCAATCACCTGACAGGTAAACCTCACACCTGATATGTCAATAAAACCATTGATCCATAAGCTTTATTTGGCCATGTTTAGCTTTATGATAAATTTGTTATTGATCTTCAATGGAATTTTATCAAAATCTGGTAAAGGTGAAAGGATGATTAAAAAGATAAATTATTACCTAATTGTAACTTGGTTGACCTTTACAAACAGGTTTAAATTCATAAATAGATTGTGAACTATCCTTTACTTTTTTCAACACAAGTTTTAAAATCCATAAACTGTTGACACATAGATATGTCTTGCATATATGTTTTTTGGGTAGTAAAATGAAAAGGTTGAAATTAAAATAGCAACAGTTTCACATGTAACTTATGCAAAATATTCAAAGTCAATGAACCATGACTAAAGGTACAGGGCAAAATAATCTTCGTAAACATTATAAGATATGCCAATGCTGATACAACTGCATACCAAATATCATTGACCTATCAAAAGTGGTTCCAATAAACTGACCTAATCACAAACTTTACCATGTAAACTATGCAAAAGTTTTAAAGCCAATATACCATGACTAAAGGGACAGGGCCAAATAATCTCCATGGGAATGAGATGTGCCAATGCTGATACAACTGCATACCAAATATTATTGACTATCATGAACAACTAGCAAGACTAGTAAAGACCTTAAAGTACATCTTTGTGGTACTGAAAAGCTTTACTTAATAGATTTTTTTTTAATCTCTTGTTTACATTGAACAACTATTTTTTTCACAGCTAACTCATAAGTAAACATGGTAAATGACTATAAAAATAAACACAGTATAAAAATGTTATTACAAATTTCTCATTTCCTTTCAGGAAACATGGAAAAGCACAGCCAACAGATGTATCAATTATTTAAAAATAAATGTGGACAGTGTCCACATGTGGACACAGATGATGCCCCCGCTTGCATATGATATAGTTATAAAGGGACATAACTGAAGAACGGTAAAAGTGACGCTACCCAAATTTGAACTTGATCTGAGTTTAGTGGTAATAAGCATTGTGTGTAAGTCTCATAACATTTGGTTGAGGCTAACTTAAGTAGAGAACAGAAACTTAAAATTCAGCAATTTTTCTATTTGTAAACACACATAACTCTAGAACGGTTGTGTATAAGTTTTATAACATTTGGTTGAGACAAACTAAAGTAAGAGAACAGAAATGAAAAATTCAGCAATTTTTATGTTTATAAAGGAACACAACTCAAGAATGGTAAAAGTGTTGCCACCAAATTTCGTACTTAATCTGTATTATGTAGTAATAAGCATTGTGTATAAGTTTCATATCATTTGGTTGAGGCACTAAAGTTAGAAAACGGAAACAAAAAATTTGTACTTGATCTTAGTTTTGTGGTAATGAATATTGTGTATAGGTTTCATAATGTTTGGTTGGGGCAAACTTAAGTTACATAATGGAAACTCAAAATTTTGCAATCTTTCGAGTTATAAAGGGGCATAACTCAATAATGGTTAAAGTGACACTACCCAAATTCAACTTGATCTGTGATTTATCAGTGGAAGTCAAAATTAAACATTGCATTGTATAAAGCATTGAATGTAGTTGATTCAATAATAATCATGGACAAAGGAAGATAACAGCAATTTTTCCCTTTGTAAAGGGGCATAACTCTAGAACGGTAAAAGTGACGCCACCAAAATTCATACTTGATCTGTGTTTTGTGGTAATAAGCATTGTGTATTAGTTCCATAACATTTGGTTGAGGCAAACTAAAATTAGAGAACAGAAACGAAAAATTCGGCAATTTTTCCATTTGTAAAGGGGCATAACTCTAGAATGGTAAAAGTGATGCCACCAAAATTCAAACTTGATCTGTTTTTTTGTGATAATAAGCATTGTGTATAAGTTTCATAACATTTGGTTGAGGCAAACTAAATTTAAAGAACTTAAACCAATTTTGGGACGTACGTACGTACGTACAGACGGACAAGGGTAAAACTTAATGCCCTCTCCGCTACGGCGGGGGCATAAAAAAGTAAACTTTAACAAAACCCTAGTTTTAGCATTCATTCTGTTTATATCTTTTCTCTCTCAATTTTTCAAGGGTATATATCCTGAATTATAAAGAATGAATGTATGATGCAACTCCCATCTTGACATGTAACCATGGACATTAGTTACTTCCTTAAATATTAAAAATTGTATTCAGATAAACAATAATAAGCTAGTAATGTTTATGTTTCCATTCCTAAGGTGCTTAACTCCTGCCATCTTTTTTTGGTGAAAATGTAACTTTATATGTGTTTAATGTCTATATTGTCAGTCGTACTTATGTTAGAGTAGAAGCATAATGGTTATTTTCAGAGGCAAAACAGACAAGACACAAATGTCACTTGCAGCCAAAGAATAAGATTAATTAATAATTGAAGATGCTATCCATTTTTTCTTTTCTCAAAGAAAAACTATTTTTTAACTATGTTGACAGTCAGAACTATTTATTTTGAGATACCTTTTCTGATCAGATAATCAGAATAAAATTAATTTCAAAAATGTTGAACAGTACATCAAACTAACAAACAGTTTGATCATGGGCGAAATACAAAGACTGTCACGACATGTACCATTATTCTAACTTTTTTTCCCCCGTTTATGCATCATGGCATGAATACCTGTAGAAGTATAAATATTTGTAGTGTATAGAGAGGACGGTGTATGTTATAATAACCATGATAACTTGTGTAAAATGTGAAAATAAAATACCTTGAAAAAATATAATTAATCTGTGTAAAAGCATAATATCTACCAAATTTGAAGCCCCAAAAAATAAGACCTTTGATAATAAATGCAAACATTTTTAAAAAACATTCCCAAATGCCTTAATTCTTTTGAAAACAAGCACAGCAACATATATATGTTCTATATTTTTTTTTCAAAGATGTCATCCCATTCAACAACTTTTTTATCATTTGTTGGTAGCTGTCTCATTGATATTTCCCAAAATCTACTTCATTTCATATTTCACCAAGAATCTAACTTCTCTGCTATATCATCTGTTATGAATGTTTATGTTTACAATAACATTAAATTAATATTGATCGTTGTTTCTTGCAAATATTTTATTCTTAGTCATGACAATAACAGAAATACAGATTGACTTTTCAACACTATTGTGCTATTTGGTGGCGGTCAGTTTTTATTGGAGGAGGAAGCTGGAGTGCCTGGAGGGAACCACGACCTTCGGTAGGAAAACTGACAATCCTAGTCAATTAAGATTGGAGTCGAGTGATCCTGCCCCATGCAGGATTCGAACTCACAACCTCAGTGTTGATTGGCTAATGATACAGTAGTTCAACTACTTAGACCACTTGACCACCAAGGCCCCCAGAAATACAGCCTCGCCTATATCTATTGTCTAATTCAAATACGGTAAAAGCTTAAATATGTGATCTTCATACAGAAACTTGCCTAGATATTACCTCCTATTTAACATTAATGTATCATGACTTAGTATCATCAGTAGTACCAAAAATAATGAACTCATATTGGAAGAGTGGGTTAATCAAAGTGCTTGTGCATACTCATAGGTAAAGATTGCATTCATTTTGCAGTTGGAAATACGTTTAAAAATTGCAGCGTACAAAATGTATTAGTAATGGAAGGCATATCTCTACTTGGGAGATATCTTCATTTGTCCATGAGTGTAGTTTGCTCAACTACAATTATAAACAAAGGAAGATAACTCCAATTTTTAAATTACTTTTAATGGTTATTTTTAATAGAACAGATAGATTCACTTACAATGTGTGTAAATAAAACAGTTTTCTTGACATTGTTTAGTAACTTAATTGAGTGCAAATTTATTGATAAATTGTTTGAAATGTACATGGATAAAGAATGAGGTAGAGAATGTTCACCTCAATACACTGATTTTGTTCTCTTAAAAGTAATAAGGTCTTCAAAATATAGTTATTAAGCCAGTTGAATAAGGGTTTTGATTGCATTAATGCAGTATGGACCCCTGATTGAAAATAAAAGAAGAATGTGCCTTGCGGAAGAGGGGGCATAAAAATTAATGCAACAGGCCATTCCAATTGAATACATGTTAAATTCTTTTTTAACACTCATATAATGAAAATTCTATCAGTCATTGGATTCCTTTAACATTAGACATGTGCTTGTCTTCAAAGTCTGGAATACAGGTCATTGGGGGACATTTCTATTTTTTACTAATTGTGATGAATTATACATTATCTATTGGCAATATTTCCTAAATGAAAATGTCGTAATTTTGAATTTAAGTAGAAAATATTCTTAATCAACATGTATTGAGATAAACAAAATGATTTAACTTCTAAAGTGCTTTCCATGTACCATACATGTTCTGTGGTTATACCCCATAAATTCAATACCATTATTTTTCAGTATGTTAAATAACTTTGCCATTAAACTTACCTAGAATCTACCAATTCTTTTATATGTCCATTATGAATACCATTGTTTAATGTATCAGCGTTTATCACAGAATTATTGTCACTACTATCACTAGCGTCACTATTACAATCAGCACTTATATGACTTATGTCCCTTGTTTCTGTAGAAACTTTTGTGTCTGTATCACTTCTATCAGAGTCCGTTTCTGTTTCTGATTTTTCAGCTTCAAGTTTTTCAGCCAATCGTCCTTTCTTTCCTAATAAACTTTGTAAAAGTGGAGATTTGAATTTTGGAGTTTCACCCCCATTTTGTTTATTTTCAGCCAGTTTTTGTAACAAAGGGGATTTAAATTTTGGAGTAGAATCAGTTGTGACTGTAAGTTCTTCTTTGGGTTGTTCTTCTTCATTTGTAACAAGGTTGGTCAAACTCTGTGACATGGACATTGCAGACAAGTTTGAATCTGACCCCTAGGAAAAATATAAATAAATCATTTACCCATGTAAATTCATACTTCAAATACCTGCAAACAACTTTCTAAAACATAAAGTCCTTTCATGTCCTTCTGCATTTAGCTTTACATATTTTGTAATTTTCCTGTCAGACAAAAAGTACCAACATTAGCAAATGAATTTTGATCTGAATAGCTCATAAAAGACTGAAAAATGAATTATTAAAGTCATTTTCAGTTTTTCATGACCGTTTCAATCAAAATTGGTTTACTAGTGCAATACCTCAGATTTAACAAAGAGTGCACATGCTGAAATGTCTCTCCTGCTTTACTGACCATTGATTTTATGTTGAAAGTCTTAACAATAAAGGTTTTACTACAAGGATGAAGGACACATGACAGACGGAAACTTCGTAACGTACAAGGTATGAAGCATCCAAGTCTTCTACCTTCTGAAATATAAAGCTTTATACAAATAGTTTAAGCATCAGCCGCCGGATAGTAATCCCTGACTCACATACTATGACTTGCGTCACAGGCGAGACAAAAAATCATGTCTGAACACTATCGAACTATAGCTTGATTGATTGAGAAATAATTCCTTCATATCATGCTCTATGCTCATTTTAACATGGGTAGGCATTATATTTGTTGATATTTTACAGTGAGCGGTAGTGAGGTGTTACCTATGGTCAAATATAATGCCTACCCATGTTCAAATGAGCTTAGAGCATGACATGAAGGTATTATATAGATTCTAATAGGACAAATACAGTATTTTTATAGGTCTAGGCATACAAATATACCTTAGCACTGTTTGGCTGTTCCCATTTCCTCCCCATGAATTATGTACATTACATTTTCATATTTGATTGGTTTAAAAACTAATAGAATGGTAAAATATATGATGTTTTGATAGCAATAGATAGTAAAATTTTATGTAAGCAGCTAAAATATATATATTTTATTAGGATGAAAATGAAAATAAGGAGAAGGTATACTGTAACTTTGTGTGCATGTGTCAAAGATATTTTGTTCAAATTAGAACACGGATGTGTTTACAAAGCGAAATAAAGACATCATATTTGAAACAAAAATATTTTTATAATTTAAATTTGTTTGAATCATCTGAAAACTAATATTTAAATGCAATAAACCAATTTTATCTACTTCAGAAATTAAGGATGCAGTTATTCTGTAAAAACAAAATGATAAAGTTTCAAAACGTTAATCTTTATTATAACTCTTTAAGGTGTTAATTGACGTTGTAATCTAATCATAAACATATGCTGATCACTTACATGTGAAGCCAGATTTTTATCTGATTTTACTTTGGACATGATTGCAGCAAGTTTCTGAAAAATAAATAAAAGTATATAATGTTAATTAATTCTTTGATAGATCTAGAGAAAGTGTAATTTCAAAAATAAATTGAAAATCTTTGGACCTTTTTGAAATGCGTCATCTTTTGGTGTGCATTAATGGGACAATTACCGCATATTTTAATATCTTCTTGTCTTTTACATTGCATATCAATACTATTTAATTGCATTTTCTACAAATTTGCATAGTTTCATGATGTGAAACAATAGTGGTGAATGAGAGTTGGGGTCTAATTGAGGTAATATGATTGGCATTTGATGTTGACAAAGAAATATTCTTTCACAAAACAGGCCTACTATGTCTCAAGCATTAATTTTTTTTAATGTTTAAAGTTGTGATGTTATGCACACTTGTCTACACTAAAATAATGTGATCGTTACTTTTGAATTTATTCAACTTTTCTTAATTTACATGAAAATTAGTAAAGCAATATTATATAAATAATATTCTACTTTTTCTCTCACTGATTCATAACTAAGTCAAATACCTTTTTCCTTTCAGTTCTCTCCTCTTCATCTCTCTTAATTTTCTCTATTCTTTCTTTCTCCATCCTTTCTGCTTCTTCTTTCTGTTTTCTTTCAGCCTCTTCTCTCTGTAAAATATTTAAAAGAATTAAACAAGTGAAACTGTGAGCTTCTGCTCACTGATGATACCCCCGCCCAAATATTTCGGTAAACAGGAAGTTGTTGAGTGATGAATGGCTGACTTATATAAACCTTGAAACCAAATTTCAGAAATCCTTGTATTGTAGTTCCTTAGAAAAATGTGACAAAAATTTTCAACTTGGCTATCATGTGTAAAATGATACAAGTGTTCGGTAAAAAGGAAGTTGTTGAGTGATGAATCTGAAAACCCATCACACAGTATAGCTGACTTATATAAACCCTGAAACCAAATTTCAGAAATCTTTGTAATGTAGTTCCTGAGAAAGATGCAACGAAAATATTCATGGGACGGACAGACGGACGGACTGACAGATGGATGGACTGACGGATGGACGGACTGACGGATGGACGGACAGACAGAGGTAAAACAGTATACCCCTACTTTTTTTAAGTGGGGGTATAATAAAGGGGCATAACTCGAGAACAGTAAAAGTTACACCACCCAAATTCAAACTTCATCCGCATTTTGTGGTAATAAGCATAGTGTATAAGTTTCATAACATCTGGTCGAGACAAACTAAGCTAAGTGAACAGAAATCAATTTTGGGACGTACGTACGGATGGACAAGGGTAACACTTAATGCCCCCTCCTGTGACGGTGGGGGCATAAAAATATTGTCTCATTTGCTGATATAGTGTCCTATCACCATTACCAAAACATGATCATGTGTTTAACCTTAAAATAATCTAAAATGAACAAATGTGTCAGGAGCCCCTATAACACGCATCAAAAAATCAGAGTGATTTAATACAAAATAATGACGGAAAAAAAGGTGTGTAAAAATTTCATTGGGATTCATGATAGGATGCTCATTGTTAGATATATGAAAAATTGCCTAGCTTTTGAAAATTCAGAAAAATGTCAAAATTAAAAGGGAGCTTTGTCAAAAATTGCCTAGTTTTTGATGATTAAATTACTATATTTCTGGTACGCTTATATCTGATATCTTCAAAATTGTAAAGGAGCTTGCTTTTAATAGTTGTGACATTATCAAAACAAATAATGTTATTCACTGAAAGCAAACAAGGTATCACCAGTCACATGAAAAGTTGCTTAGTTTTTTTATGATTTAAGTTCCATAACTCTAGAACAACCAATCTTAAATTCATCAACATTGACAGATAGCTTGTCTTCAAAACACCTAATATTGTGTAAACATTTCATAAGGATTCCTGAAAGCTTACTTGAGTTATCACAAGACATGAACAATTGCAGTATTTGATAGTCCCAAAATCTGTAATTTAAGAATCATCAAAATTGTAAGGTACAAATGTAACTTGCCTTTATAAAGACCAATTAATGTTTAAGAATTTCACAAGGATTTGTGGAAGAATTCTTTAATAATCAGGAGACTAATAAAATATTGCCTTGACTTTGACAAGTAAAGTCCCACAATTCTGCAATGACTAATTTGAAAATCATCAAAATCAAAAGGCAGCTAACAAAATGAATGTTTAAAAATTTTTCAAGGATTTGTTAAAGCATAATTGAGTACTTGCAAGACATGGACAGAACTGACAGGCAATGGTATACCATCATATGTTGGCATTTAACCGGAAGTTTATTTATTGTTTCTTATCTGTGGTCTTTCTGTTTAATGGTTTCTGAGAAAAGTGTGATGAATGTTGGATGAAAGTACAAAAAGAGGGACAAGGGGATAACAATACCACCCAAACTTTTAGTGTCTTTGTATAATAATAAGCAGGACCAGGAATTTTTTGTGTGTGTGAGATTCACTCAATTCATAAACTGTCTTGAGCTTTGGTTCTAAATAACAAAAATGTAACTAACAGCTAATTTCTCTTGTTCAGTTCTTTCAGCTTCCTCTTTTTTCCTCTGTTCCTCTGCTTCAATGGCTTTCCTCAACCTTTCACCTTCCATTCTTCTAGCCTCCTCAGCTAGTCTTTCTGCTTCTTCCTCAATTTTCTTTTCTTCTTCTTCTTCCTTTCTTTGCCTTTCTTCCTCCTCAAGTCTATAAAAAAATATATGATATTTACAGTTTTGACTATACTGGTGAGAACTAAACTTATCCAACATTTAACAGTGTGAATTAACAGAAACAAAATTAACTGTTAAACCAGTTTGATTAATGTTTTTATTTTCTTTCATTCTCCTATATAATGAATTATCAGGAAAATACAGAAACACATTTATTTAAATAAGAAGATGTGGTATGATTGCCACTGTCTAACATCCAGATGGTAATCTTTCAACCACATTCTTGAGAGAACAGGTTAATTCTGAATGAATTTGAATATAAACCTGCTTCGTTTTTTTAGAATATTATGCTGAGCTTGAGTTTTGACATACCAGCTCACAAGTATATATATTGAAAACCTATCATTCCATTTAGACATCATTAGTTTTCTTTCCATGCCAACAAACCTTTGATTCTTATTTCTAAATGCAGTGTGCTTAACAGAGAAGAAGAAAATACCAAAGTCTTCAGTTTAACCTAGCTGGGGACAGAACAAATGGCTTCGTGCATAAAAAGTAAGAATGTTAAGATTTTGGACCATGAAATTCCTTACCCATATCTAAAAAGGTCCTGAACCTTGACATGTTTATTTTCAAACACTTTTCATAGTGCTTAAGATATGATATGTGACAGTGTTTGATGTAAAGAATAATGTAAGAAATAATTTCTACACATGACATAGCAGAATATTTTATGTCTTTGGTGTCAGATAGTTTACCAGATACCACTGATATCATCTAGCTAAGCTACTGCTAATTTGTACTTTGTTATAACTTAATTCAGTAAACTTGTCAAAGAAGTAAAATTGTTAAAACAATGTACCTAAGTTGTTCTTGTTTTTGTCTCTCAACTTCTGCTTCACGTTCAGCTTTTTCTCTGGCCTGTCTCCTCTTTTCAGCCAGTTTAGCTCTGTATTCTTCTAGTTCCAGTTCTTTCTGTGACTTAGAGGCAGATGCAGGTGTTCCTGCTTTAGAGGCTGGGGATAAATCCCTAGACTCCCTGGCAGGAGTGGAAGTAACTGCTGGCTCAATAACAATGGGAATTGACTTGACAACCTTTTCTTCATCACTTTCATTCTTTGATTCCTCTACTTGTGGCACAACATCTGGCATTGGAGAACTGCTCTTTTCTACGACACCTTTAACATTTTCCTCACCATCAAAATTACCTGCCACAATTTCCATGTCTTGAATTTCTTCGATACTTTTGTTCAGGCTGTCATCTAGATTTTCAACTTTCTGTCCCTCTCTAGCAGATGATTCTGAATGGTCGGGTGAAGAGTCTCCCAAATCTGGAAGAGTTTCATCTTCTATTGATTCAAAAAGCTGATCATTGCTGATAGCATCAGTAGAAGAAACAAGAGAGGAATCAAACGAAACCTGCATCTTAGAAGGACTGCCACTCTTGGAGCGAATTTGTTTTGTTGGAGTAGAAGGTTTGCTACGAGGTTTACCCTCTTCTTTAATATCCAATTTTTCTGTACTAGAAATCTTTTCAGATTTATCTGTCTTTTTGTCTTTCATAGATGTTTCTTTGTTTTCTTTTCCTTTCTGCTTGGTAGGTTTGGCCTAAAAATTAAATTAAATAAAATTTTGAAACCTTTAAAAATAAAAAATCTATTTATCATAAACATAAATTTAAAATAAATGAATAAGGTTCAAGGTTCAAATGGAAAATTCAAATATAAAGAAACCTATAATACAAGGCTTTCTTCACAAATCAAATGAAATTGTAGAATTAATTTACCTAATAAGAAACATATTAACTTGCCAATTTAAACTGCAGCTTAAGTTTTGAAAAAGATAGCAAAAATGTTTCTCCATGTAGTGTGTAAGTACACGTTATCTGAAAAGTTTAATAGAACATTAACTACATTGTTCATTCACACTGTATTTAAGTTAGTTAAGAATGTCATAGTATAACTGAAGGTCTTTCCAGTAATAAATGTACAACTAGCAGTGAGTTATATTTTATACTTCTTCATGTGTTGTTAGTAATTTCTTGTAAAGTAATAGTTGTCCCAAAAGAGTTCTTAATCTTATTGAATAAAGACCCTGTATAATTATTTCTTACTGTTTTAATGTTGTTTTGGAACCATATTGTTCATCCCACAAATAGGTTGAATACTAAACAAAATATAAATAAACACAACCTATGCAAACCATTTCAATAGCAGAACCCTATAACTTTTGTTGTCTTCAATTTGTTCTTGCTTTTCATGTACTTTTTCTTAATCAAATTAGACAACTACTTGTTTCTTTTTCATTGTTTTGCATGTTTGTCAGTAGCCTTGTCCATTTTGCCATATATGGATCAATGCTAATTGTTGAAAATACCATTATGCTATAAAAGTTTTTAGTGTGTTTTTCTAGTTATTGTTGATGAGTTGCTGTTTCATAGGCATTACACCACATCTTATTGATACTATTATATACATTACATTTTCATAGGACTATTAATACAATTTCAAATCTCATTGACAAAATAAGCACCATTCACTATCATTACTTGTACAGAGTGATATTCCAGAAAAGTTTAATAAATTATATTCTGGTAGATTCGTAAGGACAGATCAGAAAGGTAACATATGTTGACAGAAAGATTAATTATTATTAATATAATAGACTTTTTTCCAGCATGACAGTGAGTCTTGAATAAGATTTTTTTCCTGCTTTATAACTTTAATTTGACATCCATAAAAAGTTTTTTTTCCTACCAACAAGCATAACAATAAAAAGGAATACAACTGATTTTCAACACTAACAACCTTAGGATTTAAGGCAAACTGTCCAAAGTAAAAATTGTCTACAACAGAATATTCAATTGCAGAATCTTGAAAAACACTCTTAAAATTTTAATTACAATGAATAAAATTGAAAAAATATTAATAAGAAAATCCATCTTTCGACATATAAGTGAAAATTTAAAAGAAACATTTTTGTCAGGAACAACTATGAGGCTATTTTGTTCTGGTGCAACATGCTTAAGTAGATTCTTTTTGTGCAGTATGTAAAAATGTTGGACATGAATACAAGCATATCACTTCAGTCAGTGTTAATTTTTAATTTACTGTGGCAGTTGTTCTACTAGTTAGAAATATGAACTGTAGAAGACAAAACAATAAAATCTTTTGAAAAAATAAAACAAAGTCAAGAAGTAAGGTTAAAGCTATATTGCCCTAGCAATGAAAATTCATTTCCAATAAGGTAAATCTATGCATTTATTTCAAATGTTGTTTCAGAAATTCTTTTTATTCATATATATATATAAACAAGTGACAACTCTACGACAGATCCATCCATTGGATCACCAGTGAAGGTGATACACGGCTGAAAACACATATTATATTCATAATTACTCTAAATATCAGCACAACAATGTTAAATCTGCAAATTTGCAGAAGCAAATTTTTGTTCTTCCCTTGCCGGGATTTGAACTCATGCTATTTGGATGTCGTGACAACACCGCCTGCACAGTGTCCATCGCTCTAGACCACTTGGCCACCTAGACTGAACTAAAAATTCAGCTTTCGGTGGCCTGGTGTTACCTTTTCTTGTCAGTAGAATCTAGAGTTGTAACACAGTACATGATATATGAGGCATGAAGATGGAATTGATTGCAGATTAGCTAAATTATCTGTCTTAAAGGATCGTAAGATGCAGTCACAGAAATAATTATTTGATAAGTACGTCTAAACAAGTGACAACTCTTCGACAGATCCATTTATTGTATCACCAGTGAATGGATGGATCTGTCGTATTGATCTATGCCAATAGCATGAGTTCGAATCCCGGCGAGGGAAGAACAAAAATTTGCCTCCGCACATTTGCCGATTTAACATTGTTGTGCTGATATTTAGAGTAATTATGTATATATATTATATAAATACATATATATGGATAAGAAATTCTAATTTTTAGTTATTTCAAGCTGACAAATATTTTAGTACAATACCAAGCAAAAATATCACATTAGGCAAAATTATTAATAATCTAATTCAAATTACTCTAGTTAACAATAACAATTAAATCAAATCAATTACGAACTGACAACTTCAAATCACAAAAAACAAGTCGCATTATCTGTTAAAAGTCAAATGTAACCAAGAAACTAGAAAGAAAAAAGAAAGAAAAACAAGTCCATTCAATGTATGCAGACTGATTGTTCAGCCAAAGCAATTCCCAACTGTTATTACAACACATGCAGCAACAAACCTTCTTAACTGAGGTTTTAGTACGGGGAACTGCTAGGGTTTTAGTACGAGGTACTGCTGGGGTTTTAGTACGAGGCACTGCTGGGGTTTTAATACGAGGTACTGTTGGCGGTTTTCTGACCTGTAAATTAGGGCTAATCTAGGTTAACACTAATTAGTTATAAAATAAAGTTTCATAAAACATGGATCACATTCTAAATATATAGCCCAAATGCATAAAATGCAAACTTCTACATATAATTGATCACAAATTTCATATAAAAACAATGCATTCCTTTATGATCTAACAATTTTGAAGGACAAAAAACAAATATTCCCTTGACAATTCAACAATTTCACTTTTGTGCTTTGTTTGAAAAGAGCCTGCCCTTTTATTTTTTTCTAAAAATCCGGTTTTCACAAGTTTTAGTTAATAAGATCGCTACACCACATGCTGCTCTCTACTTTTGAGCTAATTATAATTATAGTTTGGAAAATGTTCCTTTTCTCACATCTTTACTTTTTTATTTCAAGATATATTACTTCCAATTTTTTACACTTCACCTTTTCCAATTCTTTAATGATGTAAATTATGCTCCAGATTTTTTTCTAATTATGCATATATACCATATTGACATGTAGCAGTTCTATATTTGATATATGAGGTAATATAAATTTTTAACCTTTAACCTGACCTAACCTAATCATAACACTGTCTAGACCTACTGTTATACTAACATGTGTTGCTTTGACTGGTTCTGGTTTGGTGGGTGTTTCCTCTTTGACCTTGACCTGTTTTGGTGCTGAAAGTCTGTCAATGGAACTCTGAGATATCTTCATTTTGGATTTGTCAGTTTTCTCAGGTGAGCCTTCTCTTTTGGCCTCTTCTGCTTTCTTCTGCTGTTCAGCTTTCCTCTTTTCTGCCAATAATATTCTTGGGTCAAATTTCTTCTTTTCATCCTAAAATAGAATTAGCAACATTATTGTTTTATAACTGTTTTACTTATTAGAGATATTGTCAATCTTTAAAAAATAAATGGGGAATATGTCCATGGGACACAGATGATGTCCCCGCTTGTATATCATATATAAGTTATAAAGAACGGTAAAAGTGACGCTACCCAAATTTGTACTTGTTCTGAGTTTTGTAGTAATAAGTATTGTGTATAAGTTTCATAAAATTGGATGAGGCAAACTTAAGTTAGAGAACAGAAACGAAGAATTCAGCAATTTTTCCATTTGTAAAGGGCATAACTCTAGATCAGTAAAAGTGACACCACCAAAATTCAAACTTGATCTGTGTTTTGTAGTAAAAAGCATGGTGTATAAGTTTCATAACATTTGGTTGAGGCTAACTTAAGTTAGAGAACAGAAACGAAAAATTCAGCAATTTTTCCATTTGTAAAGGGGCATAACTCTAGAACAGTAAAAGTGACACCACCAAAACTTAAACTCGATCTGTATTTTGTAGTAATAAGCATTGTGTATAAGTTTCATAACATTTGGTTGAGGCAAACTAAAGTTAGAGAACGGAAACCAACTTTGGGATGTACGGACGGATGGACAGACAAAGGGTAAAACTTAATGCCCCCATCCACTACGGCTGGGGCATAAAAATGTCAAAATATCAAAATTTTTACTGAATGTCATGCAATATTTCATGGATGGATGGATGGATAGATGTGAGTTTCATATGATCATGTGATGACTTAGTGGTGAGTTTTGATATGATCATGTGATGACTTTAATACATTGTGTGTTTTAATATGATCAAGTGGTGACTTGGTTCTTATTTTTGATATGATCATGTGATGATTTAGTTGTGAGATTTATATAATCATGTGATGACTTAGTTGTTGGTTGATATGATCATGTGATGACTTGTGAGTTTTGATATGATCATGTGATTACTTAGTGGTGAGTTTTGATATGATCATGTGATGACTTACATTGTGTGTTTTGATATGATCATGTGATGCCTTAGTTGTGAGCAAGGGTCCGGAAACGGTCATATATGCCAGACATGACCGATTTGGAAACTGAAAAGACCGAAATGATTTATTGGGATTTAGGTCTTTTTTTTTTTTTTTTTACAGAAATAATTTCGGTCATTTCATTGAGATCAGGGTTTTATCGGTCGCCATTTTGAACTTATTTTTGTTTTCAGGTCATCAAGAAAAATAGATTTGTTTGAGACAAAATAAAAATTTTATTGATTTGTGTTAGTGATTTAATAATATTTATCATTAGTCTGTTGTTTATTCTATAATGTAAGTAAAAACAATGTACAGGACTCTGTCGAGTCACAGCGTGGGGTAAGTCTGGGTTCAAGCCACTAGGTTTGTTTACATAGTAATTATCACCACTTGAGGATAGTAATCAATGTCCAGGAAGTTTGAATTCGGCTTGGGTGTCGTTATTGTCTTGATTAAAGCCATAAAGGCCATGTACACAAATCTCACCTGTAAACACCTGTTAAGCAATAAAAACAATATGGCGATTTGCTGTGCATCAAATTTAACGTTTTAACCATTCTGACCTAGATTTTCCCAAAAAGATATTATTTTATTCATTAAAGAAGTCAAATAACACTGTTGACTCGAGAATCTGTCCATTTTTATCCAAATAAAACATATAATCCATTTATAATCGATCAGCTGATTTGGTCAACGTTTGTTAAATATAGATTTATGTTTACTGAGTTTGCGCATGGAAAATGGGGATCAACATGGGTTAATTGATGATCTTATTTGAAAGATCGATTTTACTGTTAACTTTTCGGTAGGAAATGGCAGATAAAGATATTAATAGATTTACAAAAGTGGTAAAGCGTATAATTTATAGGAATGCAGAATTAAAAAAAAAATGTTCAAAAAAGGAATTAAAACTAAATAACGTAATTTAGATTTGAAGCCATAGTACAGCCTATTTAAGAAATATACTCAGCGAATGAACAATCTCGATTTCTTTTTGTTTTTTTGCACTTCCGATTTTTTGAAACCATCTTACTCACAGAATGTAATGGGCGTTATCCTTTCTTTTGTTTTCCTGGCTAAACTTCCGATTTTTACCCAAGTGAAGCCATACATTCTCTCTGGACTGTATTACAATGCAATTGTTTTTCATTGAACTGTTGTAATTGTGTACAAACTTCTGTTCAGATAAATTATTTATTTATTTAAAATCATGAATTTTATTATTAAATTCAATTGTTATCACTATACCAGACTTGAGTTATTTATTCAAAGAAAAGTTGAATCATAGTTTCCCCTTTTTGATCCTCTTATCGTAAACCAGGTGAATACACATTATCTTGTAGTTAGGTAATCACTTACACTCATCCAAACAGCAGCAATTTGAACAATACAAACGATATCTTGTACATGCAATAAGAAACTCAACACAGTTTATTAATTGGTTTACATAACTTTATTTCAAAATGATGAAACATGCCGTAATTATTCCTCTTTTAATTTATGCAAATTTAAAGGGTTATGCATACGACCTCAGTGATGCAATACACAACAACAAAACGTCTCCTCGTGTAGTTTCTAACTCAGAGACATCACTGTTACTGTTAGATCAGGGTACAGTTACACTTGTTTGACCCAATACTTCACAAAAAAGGACTTTACTTGTCCATGTGCAAGACTTGTCACCCTCAGAAAAATGCATTATTGTGCATCACGATATTATTACATCACAAAAAAAAATGACCAAAATGACTTGGGAAAATTTCCGGATCCTTGGTTGTGAGTTTTGGTATGATCATGTGATGCCTTAGTAGTGAGTTTTGATATGATCATGTGATGCCTTAGTTGTGAGTTTTGATATTGTCATGTGATGATTTAGTTGTGAGATTTATATGATTATTTGATGACTTAGTTGTGGGTTGATATGATCATGTGATGAATTGTGAGTTTTGATATGATCATGTGATGACTTAGTTGTGAGTTTTTGATATGATCATGTGATGCCTTAGTAGTGAGTTTTTATATGATCATGTGATGCCTTAGTAGTGAGTTTTGATATTGTCATGTGATGATTTAGTTGTGAGATTTATATGATTATTTGATGACATAGAAGTTAACAACTATATGATCATGTGATGAATTGTGAGTTTTGATATGATCATGTGATGACTTAGTTGTGAGTTTTTGATATGATAATGTGATGACTTAGTTGTGTAGTTTTTATATGATCATGTGATAACTTAGTCGAAAGTTTAATAATCCATCAAACAACATATTATTGGAGGAACAGCATTATTTCCAATTTCTACTAGTAGATAATAGAATTCTGATTTGTATTAGAATTCTGGATCCTACTGATTTTCAATTTGTACTGCAACATATATATATTGCAAGAACAAACTGCTATCATGGGATATAAAAATAAGAAGATGTGGTATGATTACCAATCAGACAACTCTCCACAAGAGACCAAATGACATAGAAGTTAACAACTATAGGTCACCGTATATGTATTATTTCTAAATTTTCAGCATCCTTTTAAACAACAGTGGTACTAACTTTCTTATCATTGCTCTTCTCTTGTTTATTAAGAGCATCTTTCTCCTTCTTTGGTGTAAACTTGGGCTGAGGTGGCACTGCTCCTTTTGGTTTATCTGGAAATGGGAAAAAAAATTGATAACTGAAAAATACAGTTGAAAATAATCAACGAATGTATATTACTAAAATCAAGTTACACTATGGTTCAATTATACTCAAGATAAATGCATAAATATTAAGATATGAACCCTGCTTTTTTCTAAGCCAGTATGCTAGGCTGCAGTTCTTATAATGCTATTTCTCAAAAAACAGTAAACTGCTTCACCGAGCGCAGCTGGATACTACCACAGAGGTCCAACCCTGAACAGTTGGGGCAAAAATGGACACAATATTCAAGCTTCATACAGGTCTGAATTTGGATTGTAATTAAATATTTGACACATTATAGGTTTCTGACACAGAATAAATGTAGTCAAGAACTTGAAATTGGTGATATGATTTGAATTTATATACAATTGAAGATTTCTTGCTTTTGTGCAATACACTGTGCTGTTGCGCAATACTTAGTAAATCTATTTTTAGACTATATAAAAAGAATTAGCAAAATAAATTGTGACCCCCAATTTTTCTTTGGTGGAAAATTAACAATTTCTTAAATCTTGAGGAAAAAATATAGACCCCCCCCCCCCCTTTTCCAAACAAAATAATTTAAGGAATTTTCTTTTTAATTTATTAAATCTTGTTGAGAAAAAAATTGCCCCACCCCCCCTACAAAAAAGAAAATTTTACCCCACCCCCATCTTCCAAATTTTTTTGCAGTCGTATGAAAAATTAAAGGCTCAAATGGCTGTTTTTCTGGAAATCAAAAATTACATGCAATAAACAATGGACAATACTAGAAATCAACTAAAATTGGTATGGAATCATCTCTGTATATACACTTTAATTCTTTTATTCAAATCAAGCATTTTCAATCAAAAAGATCAACCAAAGTTTTTGGTAGAGATCATGTTTTTATGTAGTGTTATGTAAACTGTTGGTTTTTGTTTTTGGCTTTTTTTCGTCAGCACAAAAAATACTCTACAATATGTATTTTTATAAATCTGACATCCACAAAAAATTAATTATATAGACTATCAATACACAATTTGTACTACATTGTACTACTTTATACTGTACTGAATAAATTAATAGTATCTGAAACTATGTTCATTACACAAAACTTCTAGCACCAATGTGTAACCATTCCAATACATTACATACATATTGTGTGCTTAGTGCTTGAAATATCACTCTGACTTCAAACAAAAAGAATTGTGAGTTCTAGGGTATATTAAGTCAGTAACATGACAATCTTACTGTTCAAGTATTTAGTGTGCACACATTTGTCAATATTAAGACTAACTACAAATGTTTACACTTCCCAGTCTGTTTATACTTTAATAACTTGGGTTTACTCATCTGTGACTACTGCTGACTCCTTACAAAAGTATCATGAATATAACAACTATATAAACTTCAGGTTGGGGTTTTTTTTGTTTTTTTTTGGGGGGGGGGTTAAATCTGCAGGGATTATTAAACTGTTAATCAATTATCTAGCAAGTGAGCAGACCCATTTAAAATGTTATAGAAACTATTTAAAAACCCGAAATTCAAAGTAAATATATCTATTCATAATTCAGGCAAATTCACCTCAGATGAACCTTAGAAATGCATGAGCAATTTTGATAAAAAAAACATGAATGTGTCCATAGTACATGGATGCCCCACTCGCACTATCCTTTTCTATGTTCAGTGGACCGTGAAATTGGGGTCAAAACTCTAATTTGGCATTAAAATTAGAAAGATCATATCATAGGGAACATGTGTACTAAGTTTCAAGTTGATTAGACTTCAACTTCATCAAAAACTACCTTGACCAAAAACTTTAACCTGAAGCGGGACGACGGACGGACGGAAGGACGAACACAGACCGAAAAACATGATGCTCCTAGGTGGGGCATGAAAATTAATTTGAACGTGTGTACCACTTTCAATAAAACTAGCAGGAAAATAAGCTAACTAATGATTGTTTTTCTTATTGTTGTAAGCTTAGTTCTGGAATTTTTTATTGCTGACATTCCATTTTTAAATAGTATCCGATTAATTCTCCAATGATTGACTTTACCTCTGTTGACTCTATCACTACTTTTACTTCTCATCTTTGGTGATGGAGACTCAACATGCATAAAACTTGGCATTGAAGTAGCCACACTAGAAGGACGTGGTTTTCGTGGTGTGGATCTCTCTCGCAGTTTGATATTTTCTTTCGTGTTCAAGTTGATACTGCTCTTTGGGCGAGTCGGAGGAGGTCCATTACCAGCTAGAAAAGATCGACGTTTTTCGGAGATGGTGTTGAGAGCTGTTGTATGTTGTGGAAGATGCAACAAATAGGAAGGGAGAGAGAGAAAAAAAAAGAAAAACACAACATCAATGCAGTGAAAAACAAACATATTAATACAATGTTAGTATTTAAAATCAAACCATTCCCCATATCCATGGAAACAAAAATACAACCAAATAAATACACAATCCAAACATAATTATTACTGTTTCAGATATCTGATTGCTGTTTCTTTTAAAAACAAAATTCATGACTATATTTTGATTGATTGTTGGTTGCATAACATCTTATGGTAAATATCATTTTTTGAATAGTCATAATTATGTGTGGATTGCAACATTTGGTATATCCATTTAAATCAATATGCACCAAGAATCACATTGCTTTATCACATGCAAAAACTTTCACCATGCTAATATCAACATAATTGTTTCATTCATATGATCATCCTTTATAAGTTATCCCACCAACAGTTAAGTTGTCTTCCTTAACTTAAAAGTTTTACAAGTTTGCTGTTTATTAACATTGAAATAACAAGGATAAATGGGGAAAGACTCACGTTTGCCAACTATAATGAACATTGAACACTTAAAATCAAAAGAAAACTATGAAACTTGATCATTTTTTAAAGAAGAATGCTTTGCTTTTCAGCATGCAGAAAACAATCCTTTGCAGAAAAGAATACTTTATTTTCAATTTATTTTGAATTATTGAACCTTTGGATTTATTTTGAATCATTTAACCTTTGGTATCATAGAAGCAACTACTGTAAATTCAGAAATTATTGCAAGGTTTTTATTAATGCGAATAATGCGACTCCTTCAGTACCGCAATAATAAGAACTGGCATTCTTATAACAGGTACATATATCTATTTGTAACTTGTCCTAAAATCCTTATAATTAAACTCGCATTTTTGTTCATTCTTCAAAAATCACAATAATTTCTGAATTTACAGTAAATGAACTCCAAAATTTGCTTAGTTTTAGTAAGAGCTGTGCATCAAATATTCATTCTAAGTGCAATCTATCTGTGCTAGAACCAGTGCATAAACAGGCATCTGACAACAAGCTAGCATACAACTCCATCACAAGACAAGACACACACATACATGTACTACTATGGTTTAATTATTTACATAACTTTTAATATCATTTACAATTATTTTTTGATATATTTTTACATGCTTTGTTTCATGACAAAATAAAAGAAATATTGATTATAATATCACAGAAAGTGTGCATATTAAACAATTTAACAAAAAGTTTTCATGCAGAAAACTTAAGCAAAAGATTAATATATAATTTAAAGACGAAAAACGATTTCTTCCCTTGAACAACTGACTAAATTTAATCACCAATATACTCAGGTTTTATTCGGTTATAATTTTTTTGATAGACACATGTAAAAGACACCACTAGGACATGACAAGTCCTTACCAAGGAGGGACCCTGGTCGATCTTTGACACTCAGGTTCCCTGTGCTGCCGCCGATATCAGAGCTGCGTTTATTATATAAAACACTTGTAGACATGGACAGGTGCTTATTGGGTGGGGTACCGCCTCCGAATGATCCTGGATGTAGGAAAAAATAAGCATATGCAAACAAATGCAAACAAAATGCATGTGGATATGCAAAGAAAAGAATGTATATATGCAATGCAAAAGATTCAAGATTCTTTAAAAGAAAAAAAGGTCTTGTGTTTATTTCATTCAATTTCTTTGCATGCAATTATAAAAAAAGCAACAACATAAAATTTGTTTAAACCATACAAATAAAGCTAAGAAACTTTCACCTTAAAAGAAAGAAATTATCTATTCTCTATGCAATGGTTTGCACTTAACTTAAGATCCAAAATTTTAGTTTGTAACTATCACTTAATTTTCAAATTATTGTTACCATAAGTAAATAATTTCATTTAAGTGTAATTTACATATATGTAGAGATTATATTGTATCAACATTTACATAGTTAATCAATTAAATTCAGAGTCATATGTCCTATAAGGTTATAATTAAAAGTAATCAAATGAACATGAATGAAATCTACATTTCAATAATGACAATGTCAACTATTGTCAATTTCACTTTTGTGTGTTGACACATGTTACATGGAAATGAATAACTGAAGATTATGTGCGAGTGTGTGTACAGAAATTAAACGATAAATTTAGACCTCGTCTGACTCTGATCGCTAAAGAAAAGATTACACAAAACTACAAGATGTTGTGAGAAAGAAAGCGAGAAATGAACAGAACAATATCAATTTCTTTATTCACTAGGCTCATTTCAAAATGTCGATTAAATTTTGAAATTAAACAAATTTTGTAAAATGTTAATTTATAACATTTCATGCAAATAATTTTTATGCATGAGAAAAAAAGTCCCTAATTCATTGTTTAGAAAAGAAAATATAAAATTTGCCTCCATGAAAGCCAAAAATAATTAATAATATAACATTTACCAGTCTTTACATTTAATAGTGATATATTTGATGAAAAAGTCCTGGCTGAATTAATACACTGAGGTTATGTATGTGTTAGTGCAAACAGAAGAAACAAGAAAGACTAAAGCTAGCAAACCAGTCATTCATTATAAATATGTGATTAGTTGCAAAACTAGCAATGTAGCATAACAAACAATTATCTAACACCAAAGCTATTGTTATTTCAAACTTCTAAAAAAACAAACTTTCAAATCATTATAGTTTATATATGGTATTTATATTTCAGCTTTGGTGGAATATTCTTTTATTTTCATCAGGAAAACTGCAGGTTTTCAAATGTTCAGTTTTTGCCAATAAGTATCAATGCTCAAGATTCAATGTTTTCTTTGACCTTGGTAAACAATCCACCAAAACTTCAATGAATATATGTACTTATAATGACAATATATACCTTTTTGTGTTTGTGATATTTATATTTTCACCAGCTAATATGATTATATAGCAGATGGAATTTAATTCTTTGTGCAAAGTTTATTTCTTTCATGGTTTAAAAAAAATTGTTTACTATAATATATTACAGAAAATTCTTGGATTTTTATTATCAATAATGTGACTTTTAAAATACTTTTTAACATGGTAAATTTTTAACTTTTTTGTTAGGCTGTTTACTTTTTTTATAAAAAGACTTAAAAAATGTATTTGTAAAAAACAGGAAGCTTAAAAGCTGCAGAATAAGTCATCAGAGCAGTAAGGAAATAAACTCTGCGAAGCAATGTGAATAATGTTTGTTTATATAACTATGTTAGTAAGAAATAATGCACAACATGTCACGGGGGTATTTGCAAAATCATTCCAAATAAAAAGAAACTGCTGCATTCCAAAAAATTTTCTCTCCCAACCTTATAAATAATTGATTCATTTTACTTTCAATGAAAAAGTAACTTTTGTTTGATTATACACAAGAACTTGCCTGTCAATATCCAAATAGCTGAAAAAATCTATATTGATTAAACGTAAAAATTGCTTTGGAAAAATTTACAATTAACCATTTTTCAATTACTTTACTTTTATCATTAAATCTTTAGATCTTAAAACGATTTTAATGGCTGCACTTTAACAAGAAGCATGACATTCACATATTTCATATTTTTAAATGAATTTTGATGTCAGCCAGAAGCAAATAACTGTATTTTATCATAATAAATTTAAGAACAACTCTTCATTAATATTTAAGCTGATCAACATTCAAATTGTTTTATTTTTTAAAAAAGGTTAATAACCAAAATACTTCTGAAGCATATTTTTGTTATTAATTTGTTTTCTCCAAGTACTGGATCTATAAAAAAATCCAGGTCAAAGTTCAAATGTCATGCTTTTATCAAAGGACAGCTAAACATCGTGTTGTCTTCAACTGTTTGTAGAAGTTCTTTTTAACAACCATGAGAATATTTCAGTAAATTCCAAAATCAAGAATGACAAAGAATTCTTTCGAAAATTGTATGTTTACGGATTTATTGATAATCAACTATAAATATTATTATTAACAAAAAATAAACAATTCAAAAATAATAATGAACACAAAATAACTTACATTTGCCTTAAAATATCCTAACAAAAGGCTCAAAGATAATTCTATGATCCTTTCAGTATGTGAAAAATAGAACAAAAACATATATTAAAACAATTTTCTTATCATTTTCTTGTTCTTTTATGTAAACTTGCTTTTCTGTGCTTCATAATGACATATGCAATTTGACAAACAGCTGATGACAACAGATTCTGTCGGACATGTTGCTGAGTTATTTGAGAGAAAGACATACCAGTGAGGCGGTTAATATCAATACAGCAGTGCCGTCTGACCGCACTGCAGGCTGAAACAGCCCTGCGTTGTGGTCTATAGTAGTCAGAGTCAGAACCATTCGGCGAGTGCCTGCTCAGCCCAGTATGTGAGGAGGACCGTCGCCGATCGAAAGGTACACACACATCACGCGGCGTGCGACTTCCAAAGCCATACGATAATCTACTACCTCCTTTTCTACCACTAGCTTTCCACTGTTCAAATCTTGTGATTCTATCTTGGGATTTCTGGATGATGGATTCTCTTCTTGCCTAAAAAACAAAAGCATATAAGTTAACCATAATGACAAGTTTATGAAAAGTATAGGTATAAAAACAAGAGTGCACACACTGAAGTGTCTCGCCTGTTTTACTCACTATTGATTTTATGTTGAAGGTCTTAAAGATAAAGGTTTTACTACAAGTATCACATAAACTTAATATTTTTAAAAATCCATGACAATGAGGTCAAGGTCAGATAAAAACTGTGACATAAACATGTACACCTTACAATTATTCCATACACCAAATATAGTTGACCCATTGCTTATGGTAATTGAAAAACAGACCAAAACACAAAAACTTAATGTTAACCAATGAACCATGAAAATGAGGTTAAGGTCAGATGATACTGGTTTGACAGACATGTACACCTTACAATCATTCCATACACCAATTATAGTTGACCTATTGCTATTAGTATTTGAAAAACAGACCAAAACACAAAAACTTAACATTGAACAATGAACCATGAAAATGAGGTCAAGGTCAGATGACACCGGCTAGACAGACATGTACACCTTACAATCATTCCAAAAACCAAATTTAGTTGACCTATTGCTTACAATACTTGAAAAACAGACCAAAACACAAAAAATTAACAATGACAAATGAACCATGAAAATGCGGTCAAGGTAAGATGAAACCTGCCAGTCTGACATGTATCCCTTACAATCATTCCATACACCACATCTACCGATAGTTGACCTGCTGCTTGTAGTATCTGACAAAACGGACCTAATCACATAACTTTAACCTTGATCACTGATCCATGAATTGAGGTCGTGGTCAGGTTAACCCTGTCTGGCAGACATGAGAGGTAGACAAGGAACCCATATTCCAAATATAGTTATCCTATTACTTATAATAAGTGAGAAATTCACATGACAAAAACCTGTAATTTTTTTTCAAGCATTCACTGAACCATGAAAATGAGGTCAAGGACAATGGGCATATATGACAGGCGGAAACTTCGTAACATAAGGTATCTGCATTCAAGGTATGAAGCATCCAGATCTTCTACCTTCTGAAATATAAAGCTTTAAACAAATAGTTTACGCCGCTGCCGGATAGTATTACCTATGTCTCGCAGTCGCAGGCGAGACAAATATAAATCAGATGGTAAATAATAACGAGATTATTGGGAAATACATGTAATACCAGATGGAACTCTCAATCCACCTCGTTAAGCTAAATTTAATGATAAAATGTCTTGTTATGAAGGTCTAACAGACCTAGTTTCCTTCAACCTTCCTTTTTTGATAATGACATTAGGTCAGGTGGACTTTTCTTTCTAGTCTCTTTAACCTGTACTGAATATGACTGAATTCGTCCATAAATTTGCCAGAGAATGTGACTAATAACAGTATCATTTGATATTCTTTTGTTTTTTCGTGAGTGAGGGTGCTATTTTTAATACTGAAAGTAGGCCACACAAAGGAAGAGAAACACAAACACAAACAAGCTTTGTTCATGACTTCTGCATTCTCAATCAGATTCAACTTTTTGAAGAAAAAAAAGCAAACTTTTAATTCAATATTCAAATTGCAGTAACATGACATAATCATTATGTTACTTAAATTATATTTTCTTGGCAAATTCACACACAACTTCCCTTGCCAAATTTTATCAATTACCAAATCATTACATAACCAACTTTGTTTTTTTCTCCCAGTTTGAATGACATTAATTGATGTGTGTACAAAGAATGAATCATACATACATCCAAAGGTTAATTTAATTCACCACTTGTTTATACTGCTGTTACCTATGTTAATGTAGATCAATATTGTTCTTTTATAGTACTCTCAATATATCCTTATATTTGATGTTTATGTACATGTAAGTTATCACGTTATCACAAGGAGATCCTCAAATCTTCAAATGAAAACAACTATAGGCTTAGTACATACATTTTGTACATGTATGCATTTAAGGAAATGTATGCTCAAACATTTGATGATGAAGAAAAGATCTAACTTCAATAGGAAATACTTTAAAGGGGCCCTTGGCAACTGGCTCCATTCAACACCATAGGACCCATTAAAATTTGCAAATTATCTTTTTTGTTTTATTCAATGACTTTTTAATCCTTCTTAAATGTTTTTCTTGTTTGTTATTTTCCAATCCCATAGGATGTCTACTTTTTCAAGGTGCTGGTCATATGGGACTTTCATCACTGAAAGAGATGGTTTTTATTTCAGTATTTAATTACTGAAAATTTACTATATTATTTAACGCTCAGGATAAAATTCGAATATCACGGCCAAGGCTTTTTTACAATTTCATTCAATACCAACGTCATGAACGTGGCACAATTGTCTAATACGATTACTTTAATTCTACTCGAACTTAGTTTTGATCAATCAAGTTATTTCAGATTTCTAGACATGCAGCTTACTTTGAGGTAAAATCTCAGGTGAAAACATGACAAGCCAGGTGAAAAATCAATTTCTGATGATACACCAGATAAATTGATATGCTGTATTGTAGGGTGTAAAATCTTGAGAGAAATGATCTAAATTTTAGTTATATATAAACATCCCCAGCTGTAAATATCACCATCATCAACTCCCTTTCAATTTCATTTTATCACTTTGTAAACTATTTTTTGCATATATATTTTCTGATACATGCTTCTAATTTTCAAATTAAAAATATTTCTTGTCAATACAGTCTACTATAACTGCTGATTGCAGCTACTTTTCTGTCAGTTTAAGTATACATCTAACATGTCTAATGCCATAGTTACAGAAAATTCAGAGATTTTGTGATGTTTTTATATTTAATTTGAAAATTGCAATAGGTTACACAAATATTAGAGCATCCATCTAAACTCTTATAGCACTATTTGTGGGTAAAGCATTTCAAGCAATCTTAATAATTAATCTCACATTTTTGTTCATTGTTTGCAATAATAAATGAACATAAAAATTTGTCAAAATTAAAGTACTTCTTCCAGACCAGCAAAAAGAGGCTCATATATGTTTTACTCTGTTGAATAAATAAGCAAGTCTATGGTCAGGATTTTAACTTTAGTTTGAACTTTAGTACACCAATTTTAACTATGGCATGAAAAGGTCACAGGTTAATGAACTTTATGCCAAGTTTACCAACTGAAAAACTGTATGATCGACATGATCTATTGGTTAGTAAGACATGAGTGAATTTTATCTACCGTACAAGTGAAGTTATATGTAGCATAAGTACCCTGCTACTAAATATTTCAAATGTTTTACACTATAAACACTTATCAGATTACAACCATAAAATTTTGAAACATTTTAAAAATGTAAAATATTATGCTCCAAATCGAATCAGCTGGCTTCCAAATATGATGACAATATGTATTAAATGTATGTACAAAGATGGTAATAGATACTAAGCTTGTCAATGAAAAACATCATGAAATGAATTCACGACTTGGGAAATTAATTTGAAAGGAAAATATAGCTTCATCCACCACAAAGATCATCTGTTACCACAAAAAGCCTTATGAGGGCCATATGCTGACATCAATTATAACATCATACATACACAATCAAATAACAACTTATCCACCACACTCCAAAAATCAATATCACTACCTGAAATTTACCTGAAGTCGTCTTTGTTAATGTAACTTAACGATGATGTCAACTCCGATTAAGTTTTTTAATGTCTTTGAGGTTAATGAAATCGATTAAGCTTGAATGAATCCATATTCTTTATCTACGACCTTAGTTACAACACATTACTCTATCGTAATCAACATTAATTTATAGAATTACAGGAAATGAAAGCAATGTCTATTTTTTTCCTGAAGGCCTATACTTTTTAATCTATCTAGAACTAAAGGTATAAGTGTGAATGTTTGATATCAAATTGAATCGTTAACTAACAGAATACCTAGGAGGAACAAATGTGTTCTGCTATGAACAACACTATGATTCATACAAAGCTGTTGTTTTTCCCCTTTAAACATGTGACATAATCATTCATGGCACGTGTACCTTTACAGAAAATTCTATAAGTGATGCTGGGGGTGGTGGCATACAGGTCAAGGACTAAAAATGTAACACTGTTTGTGCTGAAAGTGTTTGTCTTGCTACTTACTGTTTTTTTGCCGATTTGTGTTTGTAATATGCAGTAGTAAGTTGTAAAATTGGACATGGTAGAGTTCACAACTTTCTGCTTTGTATTAATTAATATCATTATGGAAGGATGTGTAACTAGTCAGTTTTATGTTTTTTACAGGAATGATTTACATAGTCCTAGTTATTACCATTTCTTCTGTTTCTTGACGCCTTCTCCTTTCTTCAACTGCATGCCTTCTTTCATCATCTCTTCTTCTCAGCTCCTCTATCTTTAAACGCCTCAGTTCCAACTGTTTCTCCCTCTTTTCTTGAGCAAGTCTTTGTTGTTCTTTCATCTCCTCTAACTTTTTCTGTCTCTCCTCTGCCAGTTTTTCCTTCTGTTGTCTTATTTTGTCTTCTCTTTCTTTCTCTTTTTCTTTTTTGACATGATCTAATTATTCAAAATACAAAATTAACTTAATTACCTAAATAAGTAACGATGGTACTCATAATACTCATGATGAAAAGGTCATGGCTGTATATTTAAAAAAAAAAACACACAACAGTATTTCACGATTCTTTGATTAATCTTTCTTGTTGGTATCAAGCTATTCTGACATTATTTTGTATTTCTAAAATTAATGTAACCTCTTTCATTCCAAGAGTCATAGTACTGGTAATATTGTAAGGACAACTAAAAACAAGATCAACCCAATTTCACAACCAAAACATTTTTAAAATATAAGAGGGAAGTTATATCATGAATATTTTACTTCAGAATATTTATTGAAAAAAGCGTTTTTCCTTTCTTAATTGCATTCAATTGCTTCATACTTCTTACAAGTGTATTTCATAAAATATTAAAACTGACATAGGTTACATTTTTGTATAAGTTATGATTTCAAGAGTTGCCATAACCCCAAATGTGTTTAAATAGATTACATTTGGAGACAGATTAAAATAAGCAATGTTGCTTGTTTCTGAATCCCATTGTTTATACTGTATTATATTATATAGCATGATTTGACTTATCGAATAAAATATTGTTTAAACCAAATAGATTACATAGTACATAATGATTATAACAGTTACCAAAGTGAAATTTAACTTAAGCATGAAAAGGACATAACACTATGATGACTTAGTATCTGACATATGAACTATGTTGCAAAACTTAATTCAAGTCGGTGAATTGTAAAATGAAGGTCAAAATGACCTTTTTTAGTGGAATGTCGCTATAGTTACCTAGATGCATCATAAACCCCAAATTATATCATAGAAGGTCACTTATTAATTAGTATCCAAGATCTGAGAGCTGAATTCTGACTTAACCTTAATTCTAGTGAAGCATAAGATGTAGGTCAGAACCTACTATCTACTATCTTGGGATTCCACTATACCCCCTAAATGCAACATACACTTTGTTATATGATAGTAGGCCACTTAGTATTTTAAATCTGAAATAGGATAAAAACTTTATTTAAATCAGTGAAGCATAACTTGTAGGTCAGAGAGACTTATTTTTTCTAATTCCCCTAGTTTAACAATCCCTACATCAAGTATTTCAGTCACTTAGTATCAGAGATCTAAACTTGAATTTTAAACTGAATATAAGTCAATGAAGCATTAAATATACAATGAAGGTCAAACTGCCCAAAACTTAAGGGATGTTACTAAGCTCCTCTAGATTCAACCTAACAGCATATCATATCACTGAAGGTCACTAAGCATTTAAGATCTGAAATGGGTTATGAAACTTCATATAAATCAGTGTAGCATAAAATGTAGGTCAGAGTGACTTGTTTTTGTGTGGGATACTACTAAATTTTCCTAGACGCATCCTAACATCCAATTATATAATTGACTTCTATAAAGTAGCTGCCAAACAATGTATAATTCTGTATAACTGAAATATAAGAAGCTGTGCAGCTTTTTAACATGTACAATGTAGGTCCAGCATTTTTAAGCAATTGTGACCATGAAGCAGCAAGCCGGTGCATACTAATGCATAGACACACATATATAAAGCTGGGCTTTTTCATAAATCTTCTTTTGATAAAGTACAGATACCATGTACCATATGAGAAATCTGATATTAGATAATTATATATAATTATGTCATGGTAAGCAACAGATAAAAATGTGTCCAACATAAAATACTTAATTATTCTATATGCATATAATATTCACTTAGATCTACAATTATAAAATATTTTAAATTTATTTAATTTTTGGGTCCAGAATCACTTTTTTTTTTGCTGGTAAAATAATTTTTAAAGAAAATTTTATCTGTAATATAACTTGATTTCGATGCATTTTAACAGTCTGCTGAATAATAAATAAAGCTAGGGCAATTTAAAATTAAATTCTATAATCAAGGACATAAATGTGTGAATTGTTCTTCCATAAATACCAAAAAATATAAAGGAACAAATTTTTGTAAAAATTGTTTCTCCAATAATAAACATGTTACAGGCTTGCCATCTCATTGACAATACACATTTCCTTTTATTCATATATTAGTCCAAAGATCAAATGAATAAGGTACATCAAAAAGGCCCGTTTTTTTTATGATCAAGTCTAAAAATCAATATCTTATCTTCATAATTATTTCAAATCATCATTGTAAAACTTAAAAAGCATCATTAAATTTGCATCAAAAGAATAAAAGATCAAGCTGAACAAATTAAACAAACGTACTAGTCAGCAGAGCATGCAAATATCTGCCATTAAGCTATGACAACACAGAACTACGCAGCTTACAAAAACATGCAAATTGAAGTAGAATTTGTAAAGGACAACACAAGTCTTCAGAATCAACAGTTAATAGTGGGAGTATCAGGAGACAAATTTTACAAAACATGTACAGAAAAAAATTCATTGCCAGCCTTACAATCTAAAGTTAAAACTAGTATCATTTAATGATCTCAATGATCAAATTCAATCTATTAACGATTTCTTCTAATTCTATATGTACACAACCATGTACTATCAAAAGCCTTCTCTCCTTTTCATCTCCAAACAATTATCTATGAAATTATCTATCTCTCATATCAATTGATACATCCTTTATCTTCAAAATGACAATAAACATAGATATGTGAATTTATGTTGTTATTTCCATAAAAAAAGGCTTTTTCTTTAGCTTTCATATATAGACTACTTTATCCCTTACACTAAACTAAGTAAAAGATGACCCTATACCAGTTTGAACAATGATTGTGATGCTGGCAAAATGTTTATACACAAATAAATAAAATCTTCTAAATACAGATACAATGTAGTTGATGTGACCTTATAAAGAGACATTGATACTACTGCTACACATGTGTGACAAATGTGACAAGAGATGAAAACCTCATGCCCCACTACAGGGTGGTGCTGTCTAATCATAGCATGAACATGTACAATTCAAATGTATATATAGGTATCATTTTATTACATGCAATTTTGAAGTTTTCTCTTTTTCCAAATTATGTATTCTTTGAAAATGTAATTTGCCATTTCTTTTAATGGATTTATTCTTTGTGAAATCATGTTTAATTTTTAATAATAAACCAAAAAAAAGTCTTAATTTTTGAAAAACTGAAAAGTTTTAATTCATGTAATGTTTACCAATTCATGCTTTTCTTAGACAAGAAAACAAAAATGATTCTGAAGACTTATAGATAACACTACAATAATGTTGACCTTTAAAAATTTACTTGCCTATAGCTAAAACCTTTCCATTTTGGGTGATCATGTCTGATCTGCCAGCAGAAACTAAAATTTGGCCTGGAGAAACACACAAAATAAAGCAACGATCAAATAAACAACATCAAAATTTTACAAAAAAGTATACATTTCAATTACGCGAATTAATACTATATTTATAACAATTTGTTTTTCTTTTAAGTCCTTAATTATAACAATAACCTAGCATTTACTAAAAGCCATTCAAATCAAGGATTACTTCATTATGCAAAGTTACTGCATGGAATTATATGATTATCAATAACACTTATAAAATGTAATCATGCCTGCAAACTGCATTTACAATTATAAATGTACATATGAACACATGGTACATGTTGATATACAAGTATATATATGATCTGAAATTTGGAAATCCATAACCAATCATTACTGTACAGCCTTAATTTAGCTTTAACATAAGCTACAAAACTTGTACCCAAAAGCCCCAGATAAATGCAAAGATCTAAGAAACTAACAAGTGTCAGGGCTAAAGAACAGTACATGACGCCATAAAGTGTTTATTGTATATAATATGATTCTTATCCATGTAATAGCTAGAAATGTGTTAAAATGCTACATTTAGTAGTTGTTTCATTGTTTATGTATATTTCTTTGCTATAAAAGCATTTTAACACATAGATCAGTAGCTATGTAGATTTTTTACTATTAAATGTCACTGAATGATTGTTCCATTCTTCTTTTACATGTTCATGAGATTCTGTATATAGAACAAATATATATATAGAGACATGAACACATGAATCTGGATAAATTATTTACGAGCGACAGTTGAAAGAGATAATGAACAGTTATATCCTTATTGGCTTAATCAATTAGTTACAGAATTTAATGTAGATATGGCCATAATTAGTCCCTTATAGGTTATATTTTATTGTAATTATGTAATAAAGTATCACTCTGACAAGTGCCCAGGGGGTCATGTCCCTACCCTTTGCCTTTTTAGCGTGTAGGTACGTAACATGTAGTTATAGTAGATATTTGACAGGTTTGCGACCTACATGTGTTTGATGGTCAGTGATGTAACATGATTATACAGGAAGCGTAAAAATACATGTATTTGTACATGTGTTTACAAGATTTAGACAGTTCGTTAAATTAATCAATATTCACAATTGTAAAAAACATCATTCCAAATTGTAACACCCCAGAGATGAAAATATTTATCTAAAATTTAATCCAAGAGAGTTAATGATAAATTTTAGCAAAGTATACAGTAGAATCATCAGGTGTGCAACAGGTACAAATTTTTATGAAATGAGGAAAAAACAGCTTACCTTTTGACCCCAATAACTTTGACAGAAGGAAAGGGCACAATTTAGAATTCATGTATATTCTAAGCACCATTTAACCTCACAAAAACAAAAATATTCCATGAAATTATTTATTTATAGAATCCATAATATAAATTTTGATTTTAAATGCTTTTCTTGAACAATAAAGTCCCCATTTTTTTAGACATCTCAAAATTTTGCATATCTAGATTGTCTACATGCACGGTCTAGATTCTTTCCAAATATATGGATTAGATTTGGTTTCCAGATACTCCTCAGACAGTACACCAGTTCAATGGAACACATGTGAAATATTTGCCACTGAATTTAAGCAATCAATAATCAAATCTGTTACATAACATGCATAAAATCATCCATAATGTGATATTTGTATTTAGTGAATACAGCAATACAAATATGTTCATGTCAAGATGTTACAAAATCCATGATTAAAAACCACTTCTCATAATTTTCATATTAAAATTATGTAATAATGCAATTTCAGCATATGTTGGATAAATGAACATAATGGAAATCTCAAAGTTGTTTTTTTTCCATTCTGGTACTACATGCAACTTTGCACATATATGAAAAGAGTAGCGGTGTTGCTATTTTGCTGAAGGATACATGACTCAAACAGTCTTCACAAGACCATTTTTTGACTTCATAAAATTTCTTTAAATTAATAGGGCTTCCATGGCCCTTTTTCAGGAGTATTTGATTGGCTACATAACATTTTTATTGGTCTCAACCATAAGTCTTATGGTTAATATTGAAAACTGCAAAAAGTCCTCTTAGTAATACTTTATAAGCACCGTGGTAAGTTCCAGATGAGCAATCCTACATGGAAAACTTTTACTCTTGAACGAACAATACAAACACATGACAAAGCTATTCCTGACCTAATTAACTGATTAATTAATTAATCTGATCAAAATTCTTGTTCACAGCTGTGTAAAGTTATAAATTTACACCATATTTAAATCTTTTATATGATCTTTACACTTTATGACTTTGAATACTTTTATGAAATTTAAAGTTCCAAGAAAAATGTTGACCATTTGACAATTGTAATGAATAGTGGATACTATCATAGGTACAGAGCCCCGATTGTTTGTATTTCATAACATATGGTTAGAATATCAATGGTTAGATTATGAATTTTAAATAGGTGATAATATGGTTTCGATAATGTGTATATAAGGACAGGACCCATTTAAATCGGTAAGTGTTTCTTGACACGAAAGGTAGAAAGTTACTAGCTAAAGCCATCAATGAAATGGTTTCTATTATATTGTTAAATGTTTCATCAAATGTATTAACAAATATTGACACAGAAAAATTGGCAAACGAAAATAATGAGCAGTGGTGGGATAGGATGATAATGTTAATTGTTTTCACAAGAAAAAAAAAATCATCCAATCAAACAAATTATTATATGGTCAATGCCAAATACATTTTCATTTTTATCTTTTTTTTGTTGTTGTCTAAAACGTGCTTTCCTCAATGAAGCCACATTTTCACTGCAGATGTTTAAAAGTTTACAATTCAAATCCATATAAGAGGTTTTAAAAAGAAATAATCAGGATCACCAACTGTCAACACCAAAATATAAAAAAAAAATCCCAGATACTGTTTCCAAAAAATTCTGCACTAACAAAAATTTGTACTGTCTATATATGTTAAAACAATATAAAGTACTGTATGAAAAAGCCTGGAAGAGTGACCACCTTTTTACAAACAGTGGCATGGTAAAGTTGTTTTAAAAGCAATATTCATACTAACATGGGCCTTGTGAAACAGTATTCAGATGTATGATTTCTTATGACTATAAAGTGAAAGTTGCTTCAATTGTATTAAAAAATAACTTAAGGTCGAAGAACTATTTTGTACAAACCCCTAACACTCAATACCCACCTTTTTCTTTGTCTGGTTTATGATTTGGACTTTTATTACTAGAACTTGTTCCAGATGCTGTCATACTGGCAATGGAGTGTGTATCCTGTATTCCGCCACTGTCACCAGACATTGCCGACATATCATCCAAATGTATAAAATCAGAAAACGGCTTTTTCACAGTGTCAATATTCACAAAATTATCACCGTCTTTGGAGATTTTAATATCGTCATATTTAGGACCATTGCCAATTGTTTCAACACTATCTCCTTCAGGTCCAGCTGACAGGACTTTGGTATTAACCATATTTTCTGTTTCCATGGAATCCGTTTTGTTATCTACATCCATTTTTTCTCCATTTTTTGTCAAAAACTGTGTATTAGTTTGTCCATTGTGAAGATCTGAAAATAAAATTAAACAGACATTAATAATAAAAGTTTTATAAATCATAATTAATTAATGATATATAATCAATATGCAAAATTGATGTACATGTATATTAATCTCCCTAAAACCTACCTATACATATATACATGATGTATGCAATAATAATGTATATATACTTGTAACTAATTCAAAGGATCACCAACATTGAGACCAACATGTAAAGTTGTAACAATCCTGAAAAATTCAACCATTTTTCACACAACTTGAACAAGGATCACACTAATGACCAAATATTGATATTACATTTATTTACATTTTGGAAAATGACTTGAATACCAATGATAACAAGCACTTTTACAGTTTTCTGTAATACACAATATTCTGGTTTAATAAACTAAATGACTTTGATACCATGTATATGCTGTTATTCATCCAACCGTTAAAACATCACCTAAATTTGTCTAAGGTTACAGAATAAAGTTATTTTTTCTAACTTCTATGTTATGTGTGACTATGTATGGATTTCAATAAACTATAATTCTGAAAAGTAAAGGACATCAACCTAAGGATTACAAGGGTGAGACATTTTTACATGTCAGATGACAAACTTATAAAACACTGTGAATGAAAGGGAATACTGAGTATACCACTGACACAAAAAACAAGAAAAACTGGCAATTCCTCCTTCATATCAAAACCTACTTTCAGAAAATTTTCTTCTATGTTTTAATTTCATTCTGGACTTGGGTGGAAACAGTTTTATTCTTGTCCAACAACATAGCAAAGCCATGTCACTTGATCAGCTTATGAAAGTCTTATGCATGTAGTTATAATTAAAATTCCTGTAGCTTCTGATATATATGTATGCAAATTGCGAATTGTTAGAATTTTGGAGTAAATGTGATGTACATTTGTACAAGTATACAAATATAAGGTTTATGTGCATGATGTGCTTTATATATACGTTGTATCCATAATTACTCCCCACTAGGCATTACCATTACTTAAAAGTAATACTCAAATCTAAATGGAGACATGCCTTGCAGTATGTTAATTAAAGTAAGTACTTAATCTCTTCCTTTCACCATTTTCAATTGAGACAAAAGACAGCCCCAAGCTAAATCAATACATAAAATACTAATCACATCCTTAACAAAGAAATTATGATTGTTATTCCTTCCAATCAATGCATTGTGTTTATTTGTGCCTTCAGGTAGAAATAATAGGTGATTATGAGCCTATAATTATTACACCCTATTCAAGGCAATATGAAGTAATAAATTATTAGGCTCAATTAGAAACAAGATCAAATATTGAGTAATTACCAGAAGTCATTAATCCAAAACATTTGTCAACAATATCTATTATTTCCTTCCTCATACAAATATACATTCTGCATAATTAATCCAAAGGTTAAACTAAGTATGTAAATGGAATATAGTTTAGAACTATAAGGTACTGATTCGTGTCCATATATATAGATAATACTTTTTGAGAAAAAAAAAGTCAAAGACACAACTTTTTTATCTCTTATTAGATTGGTGCAATTGATAACAGTTGCATAAAAAACTAGACAACTCCCCTCCCACCCTGTCACACATAACACACAGATCAGAGAAACAATGAATCTCTAAAGCAAGCATTTGATCTCATGTACCTTCTTTTTTTTACTTCATGAATCATGTGACTGTTACTCATGACAAAACATAATATATATATATATAATTGTCTATATATCCAATCTGCTTCTCTATGCTTACAGTTACATATATATATGCACTAGATAAACTTGGATATTGTATCCAGTTTTGTCATTTGATTGGTGGATTTGATATCTATAAATGTATACACATTTTGCAAAAGTAATCAATGTTTTTTTTTATTGAATTATTCAATAAACATGTGATAAACCAGCCTTAGTCTTAATTTTATTTGAAATAACAGTTGGTTTTACATGGTTTCTTGCAGTAAAATTTTGTAGAAATAATTAATACTGAGCTTACTTTAAAAGTTATAATAAAATGGCTACACAGTTTATCATTGAGTCATCCATATTGGGGACAAATTTTGGCTTTCTCTGTCAACTTTACAGAGCCCACATTTTCTAAGACTTAGACCTATATATAAGAAGTAACCATCCATATGTACCAATTGAACATGTTTAAGTATGACAAACAAGCTATTGGTTGTACATACCATATTTAGTACATACCATCTTGTATCGACCAAATTTCCTTCCATCAATGTACAGTGTTCTGTACTCATAAACATCCATCGAAAAGTAGAAAATTTCATCTTAAAAATCCACCAGAAAAGGAGAGAAATGAGTAAATCACAACCACAATTTAAAATCACGAAAATTTTACCAACAGCTTTACCGGTAAATGAAATCCAGCTAGTCCCCGACACTGATCGAGACTTATATAAAATCTGCTACCACTTTGTGACAATATACAATTGATTATATCGTTCGATTTTATGAGAAATACAAGCCAACTGTTGCAGTCTTCTATGTATATGAATATGTGTTTATTATACTTTTATAAATCTGCTATAATTTGTATAATTTTTTCTGAAAAATAATTATTCAATTGATGATCAAGGGCATACAACAGAACATGGTGAAAATGATCATCGATTTGTACAATCATCACCCAGTACAAGCTAGTTGATAGAATTCAATAGACCTCATCTTAACACACCTGTTCCAATGCTCACCTCCTACTAAGTTCTAAGGAAGACCATGCCAGAACTTTCAAGTAATAAAAATTGAGGTGCAAAGCATGATGAAAGGAATAGACACTGTCTTTTATTCAAGACATTGTCTACAATTTATTCATTAACACCCCATATCTCCCATTTATTTATATTTGTTAGATTAAAATTACTATTCTAAGAATAAAGAGGTTGTCAGAAATTGAATGCCAAAACTTGTGCCCATTAAAAAATCCTGTTTCTGCAAATGCCAGGTGCAGCTTTAATGCAGACTGTCCATATACATGTCTAAAATAAAATAAAAAAGTCTGCATTAAATTTTAAGGTAAATTCAAAGAAAGCTGAAATTCTCTACATAAACCTTTAAAAGGGAAATCACCTCTTTATACTGTAAATTCATAAATTATTGCGTGCATTTATTATTGCGATTTATTGAGAATGGACAAAAATGCGAGATTAATTATTGCGATTTCAGGAAAATCTGCATACAGATACATGTATATGTATCAAAAAATCAAAATGCGAGTTCTTATTATTGCAATACTCACACAGTCGCATTATTCGCATTAATAAAAACCTCACAATAATTTCTGAATTTACAGTATTGCATATATATGCATTTACTAATAAAGATATGGAATGTTTTTCCAACCAGGTCAACAATATTAACAACAACTTAAAAAGCACAATCCTTATCATGGGATAGTTCATAAACCTTATTCATTGAGCTACAATACAAATATAGGTATGAATATGAACTGATTATTCCACATGAATGAGATATGGGAAGATGATCTGGGGGTGTATCATTACCATTACATGAGGACAATAAACTACAAATACCTGAATTTAAATTAAGGTTATATATATCTACATGAATGTAAACTATACCTTTTAAAAATATTGAACTAAATTATGTTTATAACATATTGTGACATGACCATTTCCAGTTATATATAAAAATAAGGAGATGAGGTATGATTGCCAATGACATAACTATCCACCAAAGTTCAAATTGGTGAAAATATAAGGCCTTTCATTCCAAACACATGTACATATGAACATGGAATTATATATGTACAATGCAGATGTATCTTTTAGAATTACCATCACATTTATACTCCTCATAGGAAAACTGGTAATTATAAAAAAGGTCCAACTTGTTGTTATCGTGGCTAAATTGTCTGAAGACTAAATCTGACAAAACATGATGTTTATATTTTTTTTCGCTACATCTGTACATTGTGTTTATGTGCAGATACTTGTATACAACAAAAACAATCTGAGATTTTAGTATGACAGTACAACTCGGCATTATAAAGTTCCACACCAAATTTTCATTATTCCTTAATCAAAATTCTCAGAAGTATGTAATCAAAAAATTCCTTTCTTCGACCTTTGGTATAATAAAACTTCAAAGTATTGTTAAACAGTACATGCAGTAGGCACATATGAAAACCACTTGTATAGTACCAACAACTACAGACTGTGAGACCAAATTTCAAATCATTCCTTACTACAGAAGCTGAGTAATACATGTATGTAACAAAAATTACTGATGGAAAAACACATTACAATATAACTCCCACTACATGAGTGGCCTATAATATATGATACTATAACTGTCAATGGTAGTAATTCTGACTAAGAGGTTAGAAGTAAAAGATCAAGCATTTTACAATCACAAATTAAGAAAAGAACAATTAAAACTTGAAGATACACAGTGACACTCATTGAATATTACAATATTCAAAGTAAACATCAATCAATTGACTAACTACATGCATGTAATTGAATTTTATTTGCTTTTTGTCCAATTATACAACCAATCAATTAGAAACATGTACATGTAGTTTCTGAAAATACATGTATGTACAGTACTACACTGAGGCGAGTCTGAGTCAAAATATTTGACTTCCGCTGGAAATGCAGGTAAGTTACAAGTATCAATATTAATGTAGAGAGTAAAGTATTGTGCCTTGCTAGAAGACAACAGTGAGTCTTCCAAAAAGTGATGAGAGAGTGAAACTTTCCCAACAGTAGCATCTACATTGTAATTCAATGTTCCATTTTTGACATCACTTTATCTTTAACTTAAGCATCAATGTCCGCTGTTTGTGACTCATGTCTGAAACCTTGGACCTTGTCTCCACCTGTACAAGATAAGAACATCTGTACTAAGAAAATAATTATTATCATCAGGTAATTAGAAAATACTGAGAACTATGATGACTAGATTCAAATTTGATCATTGGAATTAGACAAATTAAAATAAATCCACACAAAAATGAAATACAATTCAAAATACAACGTAATTTACCTGATATTTTACACAGCAGAACCATGATTTCTAAGTCACGTCCTCCACGTTATAAAAATCCAATATTGTTCCAAAGGCAAACAAACACATGCATCTTGTATTAGAAAATCATTCAATTGTAAATATAAGGAGGCGGATACAAACATTACCTGGTGAATAGGATGGGTATTGCTATCTACCAGGGATACAGAGAAATAGACCATGAACGTTGATTTCTTTCAATTGAGTGAAATGTGACGACTATAATATGACCAGAGGGCAACATTCCAACGTGTACTGCTAGGTACAGCAATAATCACATTCAATGTACCAAAGATCTGATCATAATAATAAAAGACAGAGAAATCCAACCTTATATCAAACTTCTGGATTACTTATCATGTTTATGTCAGATCTTATCATAATATTTTTATAATTGAATATTAAAGCAGATTAACTAGGACTGAAAATTAAATACCAGGTTGGAATGTTTCTGATATATACTATAAATTGCAAACACTTATATTTCAATTGAGGAAGATTTGTACTAAACAAAGTTATTTTGAATAATAAGAATCAGTGAGCCAAATTAAAGATCAGAAATGTACATGGCAGTGCTAAGAACTAGGCCCCATTATGAAAAACATGACAAGAGGTACTCTACTGACAAACAAACATTTAGTTGAATGAAAAGATCAGAAACATTCTTTTTGTACACATTAAACAAAAATAAATGACAATATGTAAACAAAATTGCATCCATAATTAATCAATTTTTAATTGGCTAATTTCCACCAAAGTCAATCCAAGTTTCAAGAATAATTGAATGACTTTAAGATTTTAATTCATCAGCTTTTTCTGTCACTCAAAAAATCCTTAAAACTTTAAAAAGGACTTCAGTGTTTTACACATGTATCCCTTTTTTCCCTTTGGTTGGAAAGTTTCTCAGACTATTTTCTCGAAAGTTTCAATTTTGTTCCCAACTTGAAACTTCAGGTCATGCTTTGAAAAAATTGCTTTAAACAAGGAATTATTTGAATCTGGAATAATTTTGAATTCTGGAAAATTGATGAGAAGTATATGATGAAAACTAACCCAACTAAATAGGGTTAGCCATGCACGCATGGCTAAGGTGGGTTAGTTAGTTCATACTGAAATGATAGTGAAAGTAAAATTAACCTTAGCCATGCACGCATGGCTAACCCTATTTAGTTGGGTTAGTTTTCATCATACATTTCTAATCAATTTTCCAGAATTCAAAATTATTCCAGATTCAAATAATTCCTTGTTTTTACTAAAATATAATTAGCCAGCTGGCAGATATGAAAATTACAAAGAAAAATTAAAAACTGTTATAATAAATGCAAGTCATAACTTTCCAGGATAATGTACATGTAAGAACAGGTTTTCAAGATCAAGAGAGGGAGAGAAGACAAATCCCACTGTTACACACCCAATTAATTATAAATCTTAGAATATGCTACATGTACAAAATGTAATTGCCTGCAAAAAAGAAAAAAATCTTTGCCTAAATGTCAGAATGTGCAATTTTCATACCAAACTGTTTCCAGTTCATTTAAGAGAATCTGGCCATTTAACTTAGTTACATGTTTCATATATAAATAAGATGGGGTATGAAACAATTATATGATGTAGATGCTATCAACTACATGTATATATATAGGTCATTGTACAGCCTTCAATATTGAGCTACATGTACATGTAACAGTAAGCCCATACCCCAAAGCAAGCAATAGAAGGCCATGCCATGTCAAAATGTTAAACAAAAAAAGAGAAAACAAACAGCAAATTAATCAACAAACCAACAAATGATATGCAACTACAAACCAAATCAACTGAATAACAGAATGACTTGGAAAAGGCACATACAGAATGTATTTTCATATGCTTATATCTATCAACTTCATTAAATATTTTTCAAAGTTCCTCTACATTTTTACATATATATATTTACCACGGTCATGGATCTATCAATAATTTCAAAATGTACTTACAGATACAAACATAACATTAAGACTTGGTCACCCTGGTGAAAGACAGATTATATTCAAATATTTAACCATGTCAAAATAACCTGACAGTGACAGCTAACATTACTATCCAACATATAAAACACAAGTCCAAAAAATAAAAACATCATGTAGAATCCATTTGGAATAAAAACTTCTCACCTGTATCAAGAAAATAGTCTCAAAGGTGAAAACTACATGGATCTATTACAACCTATTTACTGATTTACCTGAACCTAACCTCCATAAATAACTCAAAATCACCGGTCACCCGCCATAAAAGAAATTGATCATGTTCAACTCTTAATTAAAGAGAATTCCATCACTTCAAAGTATGAAATAGAAATGACAGT